TTTCTAGTCAAACCATGCCTCACATTGCCCATTATTGGCCTACTGTGTTTCTAGTGTATATTGGTATGTGCAAGGCTGTAGACAATGAATTGTGGCGCAGGATCCGGCGAGGTGAGGCGTAGGACGGTGTACAAGTTGAAGGTCACACCAGGATCACGCACCACCCTCCCCCACCAGGCCCAACTCGAGTCGGCCCATGCCTGGCTCAACCCCACACTATATTAATACTGTAGCAGTGCTCATGACCCTCACAGCACCGCTCCTGTGCCAGGTAAGTCCACTACGGCTCACCACAGCCCGTACTACTTGGAACGTGTTCTGAGTAGCTGAATCTATAACAACAACAACTCATGACACGAGGCCTACGGGCTCACCATAGCCCGTGCTACTTGGAACTTTTTGTTCCCAGTAGCTGAATCTTAAGCAACAACAAACAACGACTTGAGAATGGTCCAGGACGGACCGAAACGTCGTCGTCCCTTCAACTTCTAGTGTGTGTTCTGGTCAACATACTTCAGCCACGTTGTGACTCATCGCCTGCAACAAACAACATGCTCATGACGGCACGGGCTATTCATGCCCGTCCCACCTCTTGTGTGGCTTAATCTTCATGAATCAATCAATCATGACGGAGGAGACATGGTGGGCAAGGAGAAAGTGAGAGGTGTTTACGCCTCTTTAATCTATGTAAGATTAGAATAGCTTTGTTTAATTAGTTTATATGGAGCCCAATACGGTAGTGCTGGAAACTATAGGTGTGTTGATCTGGTTCGAAGCGTTGTGAAGGCGAAGGTGAGGCGTAGGACGGTTGGTCTGTAATTTTTTTTGTGTGAGTTTAATGGGACAGATTTATTATTTACGTGCTGTCTTCCAGGGAGAAGGAAAGTTCCGCTGTTGTCAGACTAACGTCAGGGATGTGACCGGCCTCTGACGCCATTGATGTAGTCAGTGATATAAGACGTCAATATCAAGAGAGGCGTAAGAGTTCTGATGACTGTGGTAGGGTGTCATCCAACCTATTGTGCAAATGTCAGACTTGCTTGGTAAAGCTGGAGACTGCTACATTCTGCGTATTTAATTGTATTTTGCAAGGATGTCGACCTTGAGAGGAGGACTTTTGAGCAAGGGTTAAGAGGAGTTGATAAAAATATTTTGATATAAATTAAAGCATCAAGTTTAGTTACACGATCATTGATGCTTGGGAATATGAAATGCCAACATATTTTCTTTTTTTGTATACGAGAACATATATGGATTATATGTTCTCTTAAATTAATTTTAGGGTTCAGTTCCTGAGTTCGTTATGTTCTCTATAACCTTTTCCACCCACTAGTGCCCGCGGAATGAGTATGGTGTGAACAACATATGAACTAAACTAAATTTTCTTTTTTGTCAAATCATTTAAGCATTTTTCAGGCATTAGAGTAAGGAAAGGTGCAGTATAAGAAATATATATGAGACATCAATTTTGCAATTCTGACATTTGCACAATAGCCTGGATGATGCCCTGCCACAATCTTCATAAATGTTAAGCCTTTCTTTATATTGACGCCAGTCTGGTTACATCACTGCCGCCAGTCTGGTTGCAGCTAGAGCAACAGTAGGGACGTGTCAGCTATATCTGTTGCATAATATTTGCCAACCGCTGATCAAACGCGTCACCTATGCTGGAGACACGATTGACGTTCCTTGGAACTAATGAGCATCGGACTGGGTATCGTGTGGTAGCCTAGGCTGCTACGCTTCTGGTTAGTCACAACTACGTCGTTGTGTTTGACGCTTGCCTAATCATGAGATCGGGCTGTGTAAAACTGGTATATTTATCAGCTGACGATAACCTGTTTATACCCAAGAATCGCAACAGAAACATCGTGCACAAGCGCTTGCAACTCGTTGAGTGAAGCGGCCTTAAGTCAAGTCAATGTCAAGTTGAATGTAAGCGTGTCTTATAACCAGTGAGCCAGCAACCTTGGTGGGCCAATATCTTTATAAGAACGTTCAGGAGAACGTGGCCGGGTGTTACTGACCATATATATTTTACTACGTTATCGGATTAGCTTTGTTGACAGGTGATGTATCTTGACGTGACCTGAATATTGCGTGAGGGTCTCCACCCGTGTAGGACTAATTCTTAAGGTCTGCAGCCGGCGGTCACTGCGTCGTAATTCAGATTCTCAGGACGCCGTCTGCATTAATTAAACCCTTTTCCCACATAAGTTATAAGATTTAAAAGGGACGTTACTTGAAAATATCCAAATATAATTTACTTCGACTCTTGGGTCATTGAAAATTTCACGTGTTTTTTTTAACAAGCTTGGGTATATAGCTGTGTGCTGCTATCCTGTTCTATATAATTAATTATATAAAATAGGATAGCAGCACTCGGCTGTGTACCCAACCTTGTTACAGAATACTAAAGTCCACCGGCATTTTCTTTTCAATATGCTGATCTTGATCTATTTTCATGAATATGCTGATATTTATTTTCATCAATATGTTAACGCTTATCAATATGTTTATCTATTTTCAGCGTTGGAATTGTATTCGTTCGTTTCATATTTATGATTAAGGTCAAATGTGCTCTAGGTACAAATACATCACTTGTTGGCTTAATAATCCCTTGCACAAATACAGTATGGTGTTTGAATTATACTCTGGTTACGTCACAACAGGCACAGAGACAACAAATACATATTTGTAAACAGTTCCCTTCCAAAACAGTGTGTCATCCTGATGCAATAACAGGTTAAATCCAGGGAAGGATAGGACTGAGGAAGCAGGCATGTGTCGTAACATATGCACCTCTCATGGTCTACCTCGTCTTCACATTTGGGAGATCTCCGATTCTCAGTAAGTGGTGCGGCCCGGGGTGCAGTGTGAATTGAATATCGTAATGCACTTAAATAATAGGTGCGCACAAATTAAAGGCTGGCCGGCTCTTCATGGAAAATGCAAGTCAGAATTCAAGAGATGCAACGCCCATGCACCGCTCCCATGTGGCAGTTACATTCGAGGCAAATGCACCTATAGCGACAACACATGCTTTTGTAATGCGCTTGATCCAAGGATACAGAATAGCTAGTGAACCACCAGCGCTTGCACACACGCATGCATGCATCAAATATCTTTGCACCCGTCCACAGTAGGAGCTAAAGCCTTCATTGGCTGCAACCCATCGGCATGGACATTATGACGTCATAGTGGCGTCACGCATCGTGCACGACACATATAAAACAAATGTATATGTCTTATTTTCGTTTGGCCACAACGAACAGCCCCGCTCCTGTGCCAGGTAAGTTCCCAACGGGCTCACCATAGTCCGTGCTGCTTGGAACTTATTGTTCCAAGTAGCGAATCTTAAACAACAATAACGTTTGGCTAGATTCGTTCAGATTGAGTTAGGCTAGGTTTGTAGTAGCGATGACGTCGAGGGGGTAAATAAGTTTCTGAGGTCTTAGACTGTACCCCACCCCGAGGCACTTAGAGTAGGTTCTTCACTTGTTGTGGACATACGTATCCAGGAAAGCCATTGTATTATTTGGCACGGAGATTTAAGTTTGTAAATTTTGCTCAAAGACAACCATTAAAATTGGCCTGCCTGTCGCAAACTGCATAATTTACAGTATATAAGCAAGATACTTTATTAGCGAAGCAATCATGAGTGAGGTGATTGTGTAATAAGTTGCAGATACACAATTAAAAAAATACACAATATCAAGTCAAAATATCAAGAAACTATTGATACTATTGTGCATCAGCAGACGAGAGCCCTTGCTCCCTGCCTCTCATAAGAGTGAATAATATCTGCTCATTTATTTCTCAGTTCTATTAGTCTTCATCCACTTAATTCATAATTAACATTGAGTTAATGTTTTAAATTAACCGTATATAGCTTCCCTGTAAATATCCGAATGTAATACTAGTTGTGAAAGTTAATAGTAACCAAGTTTCAGTTAACTACGTGCTGCTGGCACAAGGTCAAGAGGGGCCATGTGTTGTGGTAGTGATAGGTAGTGAGGGACACAGTGTATTGTTGTTGTGGTAGCGGCGGGTGATGAGGGAGGCAGTGTGGCGTTGTTGTGGTAGCAGCAGGTGATGAGGGAGGCAGTGTGGCGTTGTTGTGGTAGCGGCAGGTGATGAGGGAGGCAGTGTGGCGTTGTTGTGGTAGCGGCGGGTGATGAGGGAGGCAGTGTGGCGTTGTTGTGGTAGCGGCGGGTGATGAGGGAGGCAGTGTGGCGTTGTTGTGGTAGCAGCAGGTGATGAGGGAGGCAGTGTGGCGTTGTTGTGGTAGCGGCAGGTGATGAGGGAGGCAGTGTGGCGTCGTTGTTGTGGTAGCGGCGGGTGATGAGGGAGGCAGTGTGGCGTTGTTGTGGTAGCAGCAGGTGATGGGGGAGGCAGTGTGGCGTTGTTGTGGTAGCGGCAAGTTGAACCAGTTTTTTGTCGCCACCCAGACTCGGCTCACCGGGCCGCCGCCTTCACTGGAAGCAGAGAAACATGTGACGTCACCTCTTGTGTCAATGGGATAAGCGGCAAGCGCCTCCTGGAATGGCAGACATGTGCTCATCATAGTCCTACACGTGGCCATGTTTGCTTTTGCAATAACGCTTTAATAATGAGTGTTTTGGATTCAGTGTTTCCTTGGTATGTCTTGGAGTTCCACAACTGTGGCAGTCATTAATTCACTGTTTTCACAGCGAACATATTTGAAGCGGTAGATGGTTGGCAAGTGGTCAACTTGTACGGCTGGAAGTGGTTACGGGTGTACGAGTGACATGACCTTTATCCATGAATTATGCCTAAACCTTTCGTGAATGAAACGCGAACCTTTCCGTGTGAATTTGTTCGCTGTAGGCTATTCTTACGAGTTAACCCCGTACAACGCTTCGTTTTATCATTAACGTATATACAAATTTTCCTAGTCAGGAATTCACCATTATTCACCTGAAGCTATTCTACAAGTTTTTCGCTCGCAGCGAGCGTCTCCTCCCCCGCCGCCTTCTTAAATGTGTGTGTAAGAGCGGAAGCGTATGGGGGTGGGGTTGTGGGGGTTCCCCCGATGATGGTGTGCTGTCCAGCACCCACCGTGGCCTGAAGTCATCCCTGGAAGCTTTCAGTACAGCGCCAGACTCTTAACAGTACGAACGTGAAGGGTCAAGTAGCTCAACACCTTGTGAACTGACATTCTTGAACTGACATTCGTATATATTACATACTCGTGCAAGAGTGTTGAAGCGGCTCAGTGTAGTGGCTCGTCGTAACCTTGTCTATTGCTAGACTCGCCTGAGATTTACACCAGTTTTGTAATTATCAAAGCTGTTTAATAGAGGTAAGACCGAATGTTAATAGTTAATATAGTGTTTGAATTACAAATTATACTATGTAGAATGAAGTCATATGAACTTGTTCATTACTTGGTTCAAATGACACTTGTACCTATTTGAATAAGCTCCAGATAATGAGTGATGGACCTGATCATGTTACACACCTTGATCATGCGCACACCTTGCGCTCATGCGCAAGGTGTGCGCATGAGCGTTATATTCAAATGTTTCAGTTGGTGACACGAGGTGTAGACGGACGGACAGGTTCACTCGCATGGCTTCTGGATATTATACATCCCATGGTCGTGAAGGACACTACATGCTCATTAAATTATTTTATTTAGTTCTAATTATATGGGGATGGATGTTCACACACACGTGATACAAGATGTACCCAGGGTTTCATCAAACTAACATTGAACACACCTCCACATACCATTATGATGAGGGTTTAAGAAGTATGGTAAAAAGGCCTATTGTGGTACTCCCTATTTTCACGTTTGACTATTATTCACGGTATATGGTGTACTATTGAATTTGTACAAACCGGAAAAACGATTTTCTACTTGTGTTGGAAAGACAAACTAACCTAACCTTCCTAGGCCTAATACACGCTATCTGAGGCCTCATATAGAAATATTTAAGTTAGTTTTTACCTTAATTTTTTTCTGACTATAAAGTGAATAGTACAAAGTTCTACTATTTAATTGCTTAGTACGTCAATATTTGTACTATGGTTCACATAGTTACGAAAAGTTCTATCTAAACAGGAGGATGGGTTGTTTGGTTCAGATGGTTCATCGCGGGACCTCATCTAGGCGATCAGCTGGTTTGTGGGTCACATTCTCCAAACTCTTCTAGACTGCCTAGATTACAAGCAGGTTTAATGGGGATAAATTAAGAAATATTGTATCATTAACAACATATAATCTCGTGTATTTACCGTTTGTTTATATGACTTGCCAATCACGGATATGTCATGAGCGGATATATCCATAGGAATAATTTTGGAGTTGATACATGTTTATAGTCTAATATTGATTTAATACATCGATCTATTCATAAACAAGTGCAAATTATTTGTAGTATTTGTTTTTTTAAAGTTGTCGGAAATGTTGCGTCAGTGGCGGAACAGTATCAAGGTTTTGGTTTGTGTCGATAAATATTAGCGAGACTTGAGGGTGTGGGGGTCATTAACACCACACCCCCGTCACAACCTTAATGGTTGTGGGGGTCATTCACACTACGCCCCCGTCACAACCTTGATGGTTGTGGCGGGTCATTAACACCACACCCCCGTCACAACCTTGTTGATTGTGGCGGGTCATTCACATTTATAGTGGGCTCATGCTAACATTATTTAACTTTCCTTTTTACTCAATGCCAAGCTTAATTGTCACAAAATTAGTGTACAATTTGTTTTGAAGATCATTAGAAAAACTGCGTCGTTGTGGGTGATGGTAGTTACATCGTAAATTTCACCCTAATGGCTACTGAATATCTCACTTGCAGGTCAAAATATAATTTCCTAAATATTGGAGTATATAATTTATTCGCATAAACTGAACGGGAAAGTATCAAGTTATATAATTTTGCAAGTATTTACCTCCTTAAAATTTTCTTAGATTAAGGACCTGCCCGAAACGCTGCGCGTGCTAGTGGCTTTACAAGACTGTAATTACCATATTTGTATCCTCACATTCCTTATGTACATTCTTGTATATGCATAAATAAATAAAATAAATAAATATTTTGTAGAATAAATATGTCTAATGGAAGAATTAAATTCAAATTCAAAACCTATTCATAAATAATTGTATATTTAGAATTCTTTACACAAAATTACAGTAAATTATTTACCAAACATTAAGTCATAATAATAGCATGTAATCTAGGGTTAGATTTAGAGGCAATATTTATCAGTGATATAAGGTGTTGATGACCTTATCATCAAAAATTGATGAGTGGTGGGAAGGGTGAACTCGAAGCCAGATAATACAGTCAGAAGTCATCTGTTCCCCTCTCTACCACAACAACAGTAGTTGTAAACAAATAGAAAAGCATGTTCCCGGCGAGTAAGTAGCTTTGACCTTGTGGGGTCATAGCTCATTCTAATCTCTTACTTCCATTGTATACCATGAGTTGTTGCCAGCGTGTGTATATATGTAGTATGCATGTGTGTATGCTGTTGGCATAGACAACAGTGTACATATGTATAGTCTACGTTGGTGTAGACAAAGAGCTCAGTGTTTCATCTGTTTTGGGTGTATGGTGACTTGTGCAGTATATACGTAGAATATTCCCTGGAAAAAAAACGAAACTTTCTATTTTCCGCTTGTTACAACTTGTAATAAAGTTGTTACATCTTAACGTGCTTATGACGTATTAGAACGTTGTTACAACTTGCTATATTGGTTGTTATAACTGGTTAGGAGTGTTAAAACTTGTTCGAACGTTGTACCAACGTTGTAGTTTCGGTGTGTGTGTTTGGCGGGTTGACAGATGCACTTGATTGTATCGGATACATCAGTCCATCAGTTTCCAGCTTCTCGCAACACAAACAAGCAGGGGGTGATACATTCATCTATAACATATTTGAATGAGCCTGACTATTTGCATCAAGGCCAGGTTCTGGAGGAGTCATTGTTAACCTTGCCTCCAGACAAGCCGCGAGTTCTCTCTCTTCACCTTCGCTTCGCTGCTTGATTTATTACCTGTATACATGGTAACCACGGTGACCTTCAAGCTTAATATGCTTGAAGCAAGTGTCCTACAGGGCTGTAGGACACTTCCTTCTCACAATGGTGAGAATAGCTATTGTCTCGAGAATCTCTGGATTTAATCTTGATCACTGTCAAGCCGTACGCAGCTATTCTAGCCTATCGGTAAATTAATAGTAAATTTAGCAATTCAGAGATTTTATAATGAATTTCTTCATCGAATGAACAGTTTTGATAACATTCATGGAATCCCTAACTTGGTCATATCACTCATTTAATCCATACTATGGGATTAACACTCATTTAACCCCTAATTTGGGATTAGCGCTTTGAATTCCCTAATTTAGGGACATCATGGTGAATCCTGTAATTTGGGGACGTCACTCTGGGAATTCCTAAGTTGGGGAGGCCGCGTGGCCGAGTCCCAGAGTTGGGGACATCAACATGAAGACATCTGCAAAAATACACTTCATCACTGGAAAGGACCTTTCTCAGAAAGGATGTGTGTGTATGTCTGAGGTTGGAAACCAGACGCTTGGGCTAGCTTCACCCAATTTTCCTAAGTAATTGTTGTTGGGTATGTGCATAACATGGATGGGTTGGGATTGGTATCATGGAAACCAGTGCCAAGTGACACTGTACCAACATCATCTTGAGAAATCTCGCAGTACTATATGACTGTACTGAACTACTGTTATCATTATTATTTTAATTGTATCAGAAACTATGCATTGATCACTCCTAAATTAAAATCTTAAATTGTAATGAATACTTATCCTTTAAACCTTTAAAAACTTAGATTTTTCCCATAGACTCTTAAGGAGTGTGTTGATGAAACAACTTTGTGTTATAGATTAGTGATATTGTAGAACAGAAGGGAAGATGAGGGGGAAAGTGGTGAGAAGAGTGTGGTAGAGAGGGAAGGAGGGAGAAGGATTCGAAAGGGCAGGTTGGGTGTTGAGAGAGGATGAAGAGGGGTGTGAGGATGTAACATTATGACAGGTTTGGAGAATAAACACACACTGTGGCAACTAGATGTACGTATGATATAAGTGGTTACAGTAGTGGTTGTACAATAGTGTCATGACAAAATGAAATGTAAGGTTGCTGTTAGGTACCAGTGGTGGAAGAGACTGGTCGTTTTTGGTCGTACCAAGACTGATAAGAGGTTATGTTGCTGCTGGTTGTGGTTGATCAGTGGTGGTGTTGCATCCAGCTCAATTATGCTGATACTCAGCTGGTCTAATGGGCTTATATTCCTATCCACCTGACTGTTTTCAATGGGTATGAGTCTCAAAGGCCTGGCATGAACCTAAGGTTTAGCAGTACCATTGCAAAAGTCCCAGATAACTACTAAGGGCCTACCAGAAAAGGACATTTCATTACATTATACAAAAATTATTTGTGGAATTGCACATACTGTAATGGAGTACGATACCCTGTCACCCCCTATACAGGTATAGTTCTTAGTGAAATTGAGCAGTCTAAAGGTTAAAGGCTGCAATGCCTAATTAATAATTTGTAAATGCCACAAGCGGAGTCTTTCATCATCTTATATATGAAATATTATTATATTAACAATTTACTTTTTTTCACAGTTGAATGATGGCAACTTTAGTGCGTCGATGGGCACTGGACTCCCAGCTTTTAGTGGCGATCCAGAATAATGATGTAAACCGCGCCCACAAACTCTTTCAAGCTGGAGTGGACACTGACATACGTTTCTCAATTAACTCTCAGCAAAGGCCAGCACTCTGCCTTTGTGTTGAAAACAATGCGCTTGACATGGGTTAGTGTATTTGAACAATTTATATTTTGAGGGTACTACCAGTTATGACAAGGTTTGGCGTTTGGCTGCTGCCTACTGTTGTTTCTGGCAGGTCCACAAGTTGACTCGTTCGGCCCAGACTGCTGGTTCTTGGGCATCCAGGAGGTTGTATACATTGTATGTCTGGTCGGTGGGTTGTCATGGGATTGGGATTCCGTCGGGATTCTGTGGGATTCCGTTGGGATTCCGTTGGGATTCCCCAAACAGTTCCGAACCATATTTTGTTGCTTGCAGCTTTCCAAGATATTACTTGGTTTTTACACGAATAGTTATTTATGTTGCCCACCTTGTTGGTTTAATTATTTTTTTGTCCTTGTGTTGTTGCTGGATCTTAGTTTTGGCTGAATCTCTCTCTCTCTCGGGTGGTGGCTTGTTTAAGAGTCTACAGTTCAGGCTTTTTCTGTTGCTGGCATGAAGCTGAAGGGTTGTTCTTTGTTCTATGATTTGACTCATAATGGGTCATGAGACTCGTCACGCTCAGGATTCAAATTTCGGACATTTCAGATATTTTGAAAACTGCAAGGGGGTTTGGGCAAAATATGACCCATCGCCGTTTTCAGTAATGGGCATATTTTCGGTATAAAAAGTCGTAATTTGAAAATGAAAATAGGTGCAGAGAGTCAGAATTCGGCTCAAAAATCACGCTCAGGAGTCAAATTTCGGACGTTTCTGATATTTTGAAAACTGCAGGGGGGTTTGGGCAAAATATGACGCATCGCCGTTTTCAGTAATTGGCATATTTTTTTTATATAAAAAGTCGTAATTTGAAAATGAAAATAGGTGCAGAGAGTCAGAATTCGACTCAAAAATTTCGCTCAGGAGTCAAATTTCGGACATTTCAGATATTTTGAAAACTGCAGGGGGGTTTGGGCAAAATATGACCCATCGCCGTTTTCAGTAATTGGCATATTTTCGGTATAAAAAGTCGTAATTTGAAAATGAAAATAGGTGCAGAGAGTCAGAATTCGGCTCAAAAATCACGCTCAGTAGTCAAATTTCGGACATTTCAGATATTTTGAAAACTGCAGGGGGGTTTGGGCAAAATATGACCCATCGCCGTTTTCAGTAATGGGCATATTTTCGGTATAAAAATTCGTAATTTGAAAATGAAAATAGGTGCAGAGAGTCAGAATTCGGCTGCAAAATCACGCTCAGGAGTCAAATTTCGGACATTTCATATATTTTGAAAACTGCAGGGGGGTTTGGGCAAAATATGACCCATCGCCATTTTCAGTAATTGGCATATTTTCGATATTAAAAGTAGTAATTTGAAAATGAAAATAGGTGCAGAGAGTCAGAATTCGGCTCAAAAATCACGCTCAGGAGTCAAATTTCGGACATTTCAGATATTTTGAAAACTGCAGGGGGGTTTGGGCAAAATATGACCCATCGCCGTTTTCAGTAATTGGCATATTTTCGGTATAAAAAGTCGTAATTTGAAAATGAAAATAGGTGCAGAGAGTCAGAATTCGGCTCAAAAATCACGCTCAGGAGTCAAATTTTGGACATTTCAGATATTTTGAAAACTGCAGGGGGTTTGGGCAAAATATGACCCATCGCCGTTTTCAGTAATTGGCATATTTTCGGTATAAAAAGTCGTAATTTGAAAATGAAAATAGGTGCAGAGAATCAGAATTCGGCTCAAAAATCACGCTCAGGAGTCAAATTTCGGACATTTCAGATATTTTGAAAACTACAGGGGGGTTTGGGCAAAATATGACCCATCGCCGTTTTCAGTAATTGGCACATTTTCGAGTATAAAAATTCGTAATTTGAAAATGAAAATAGGTGCAGAGAGTCAGAATTCGGCTGAAAAATCACGCTCAGGAGTCAAATTTCGGACATTTCAGATATTTTGAAAACTGCAGGGGGGTTTGGGCAAAATATGACCCATCGCCGTTTTCAGTAATGGGCATATTTTCGGTATAAAAAGTCGTAATATGAAAATGAAAATAGGTGCAGAGTCAGAATTCGGCTCAAAAATCACGCTCAGGAGTCAAATTTCGGACATTTCAGATATTTTGAAAACTGCAGGGGGGTTTGGGCAAAATATGGCCCATCGCAATAATGGAGCCGGTCGGCCAAGCGGACAGCACACTGAACTTGTGATCCTGTGGTCCTGGGTTCGATCCCAGTCGCTGGCGAGAAATAATGGGCAGAGTTTCTTTCACCCTATGCCCCTGTTACCTAGCAGTAAAATAGGTACCTGGGTGTTAGTCAGCTGTCACGGGCTGCTTCCTGGGGGTGGAGGCCTGGTCGAGGACTGGGCCGCGGGGACACTAAAAGCCCCGAAATCATCTCAAGATAACCTCAAGATAAGGGATCATCCTTTGCGTGCACCCTCCAAGACCCACTGCTAGTTAAGGTGCTGAATCTACTCAGGCCTGAACCCCTGAAGCACCTACAGGGGTCATATTGAAGGCTGTGGCCTCAGGTGTATGTCTTGGAGAATGTAGATGCATCTGTGTTTGGCACACTTCCTTCACCCCCACCCCCACCCCCAAAACCTAGGCTTTTGGTTGAAGTTAAGAGTTGCACTCCGCCCTTTGCCTTAACCTCTATTGGGGAAGGGCTCCAGGTCATTGTAATTCCTTGTGGGTGGATCAGGGTTGCAATTTGATACAGCTTTGAGGTCCCCAAGCTAGAGGATCTCTTTCTCTAGGAGGGGAACATGTTTTATCTTCCAATTCAAGCTTAGCTTTTCTCAACACTCTCTCTTCTCCAAGCCACTCAACCATAGGTGCATGCATGATTTCAGTTTGGACAGGGGGTTGGGGTGGGGGGGGGGGGGAGGGGTTGGACTCGCTTTCTAATCCTAATAAAGCAGTTGCCATAGTTCTGCCTGCTGTGCAGGCTTGCCAGACCTGCTGCTGTTCCTTTCTGTGAAGCCATGACCATGCTTCTAAGCTGATCCTGGTTTCTAATGAGTTAGATCCTCTGCCTCTTATTGGATTTCATAGGCTCCCAGTTTCATCTTGGTCAGTGGACAATTCTGTTTTTCATGGATAATTGGTGACTCATTTGTCATTCCCAGACACTAGAGTGGAGGGAGAGCTTCCTGGTCTTTAATGTTCTTTTGGGTGAATTTCTTTGTCATCAGTCAAGCACTGTTTGCTTCTGCCCTACCCTGTAACATTGAGCCATGACAGCTCCACATCCAGGATCTCTGGTTACCAGTGGCTGAAATCTCTGTGGACCACAAAGTTCAGACTTGGCATAGATTTTCTGCTCTCACCACACAAGCTATTCTCTCAATTATGTTAAATCTAGGAGCTCTTTGTGCATCTCCAGCCTTGGGTACCTATTTACTGATAGGTGAATGGGTACCCCTTCGCTATTAGTAAATGGTGAAAGGAAACTTGCACAACCATTTCTGTACCCCCAAAAAAATTGAACCCAGAATCCTTGGGTGTGAACCAAGAACATGGCCACTAAATTAACCAGTCACTGGTATTCTAATTCTCATGACAATGAATATACTGTACTGTACTATAGAGGCCTTAGAGTTTACTACTTTATCACTTCAATTATTTCTACAAGCAGGGATGCCATTAACATTTCTGACATTGTTATTGTATATACTTAATTCAGTTACAAAAATTCCTATGGATTTCTTACATGTTATTTAAACTGAATTCTCTGGAAAGATGTGTTAACAACTTGTATTCATACTTATCTGCATTGTTTTTCTCGAGTTTCTAAATTTAATTCTTAATTATGCCTATTGACTCAAAATATTATAACTTGCCCTGGTAGCTAAAATATTATATAGTTGTGTTGTATTTCAGTGGAGCTTCTGGTGAAGTTGGGTGTAAGCATTAACCAAGGAGATTCTGGAGGTCTAACACCACTGCACATAGCATGTACACACAGTTATCCTCATTTGGCAGGCCTCCTTATCAAAGCTCGGGCCAATGTCAATGTTCGCACTCATGAAGGACGGACTCCACTCCATTTTGCTGCTGTGAGAGGCAATCAAGGTAACACATGACAATAATTCTGATACTAAATAAATAAGGACCAGGGCTTAAATTTAAATCCAGGGCTGGACTTAAATTTTTCCAGAATTAAATTGACAAAAAATACAGTACAGTACATAAAAATATTTTTTAAAAACATAATACTATAAAATCTTTATACATTTACCTTCACCCTTCAGAAATAATTTATTTATTGTACTCGGGTGCCAAATTTTGTTTTTATATATTTTCCTTGGGAGGGATATAAAATCATCAGACAGAAGATTTTTGTCTATGTACTTTTTGTTAAAGTAATACAAATTTGTGTAAACTGCAGTATTATAATTATGTTATTTTTCTTATCAGATTTGGTGAAGCTTTTATTATCCCACGGAGCAGTTGTAGATGTCATTGATGGAGATGGGTGTACTCCACTCATCCGTGCTGCTGCATCAGCAAATTCACATATTGTAGAAATTCTACTCGATGCCCATGCAAGCCCTGAAACTATTGATAATTGGGGCAATACAGCACTACACTATGCTGTTGGTGTTAATGGTGTGAAAGCCTCAACTGTGAGAATATTGGCAATAGCTCATCCACCTGCTGCTTGCATTACAAATTCTGGCATGGAAACACCACTTCATATTGCCGTGCGAAGTGGTAGACAGGATGCAGAGAGAATCCTTGCGGCAGTAGTAGAAGTAGGAACAAAAAGTGCCTTGAACACTAAGGGTTCTTTAGGTCATACACCTTTACACATGGCCGTTTTAGAGCACCGTCTGAATCTTTTGCGTCTCCTCCTTACTGCAGGGGCCGACACTAACACAGAGGATCATCTTGGGCATACACCACTGGTATCAGCATCAAGAGATGCTTCTTGGGGTGCAGTAGCTCTGCTTTTGGCAGCTGGAGCACGTACTAAGCGACTGATTCAAGGGGGGGACATAGAAAATGAAATACAAGACTCTGGGATTCGTGCACTTCTTGAAGAAGCCACAAGACAACCTCCACACCTCTCTAGTTTATGCCGGCGAGCTCTGACTTGCTATCTGGGACCTAGTGCACTTCATGCAATTTCAAGAGCTACTCTGCCCTCAGTGTGGCGAGATTTCCTCACTTTTCAGTCAGTAAACCTGTAGTTATTTTTAAACAATTTGCTCTTGTTATTAACATGGTAAGGAGTTACCTTATTTAAGCAGACCTTGCTCTGAAGGTTAACTTAAGTATGACTCAATACAGTGGAGCTTCAGTACTCAAACTTAATTGGTTCCAGAAGGCAATTCGAGTGCTGATCTGTTTGAGTACCAATAATTTTTTCCCGTAAGAAATACAGTCCTGTAAATTGGATTAATCCATTCCAGACTACAAACAGTACACATTGAATACAATAAATAAATGAAAGAAATGCAAATATATTCTCATTTTACCTGCACTAAAGAGAGCTTATGGCATGTAGAAGGTGGTTAGGCAGAGGAGAGAGATTATTGTCTGGCAGGAGAGTCCCCCTACCATAAAAACTTTGAAAAATTGTGCTTCTTGGGCTCCTTTTTTCTGTATTTCTATTCTCTTCTTGAGATTTGCTGGATGTTTTTTTTACAAGAAACGTGTCCAATTTAGCCATACCAATCTCCGTAGCAACAGCAGATGTGGGCACTACTTTCATATTTTGCTTTGAGTTTATATATATATATATATATATATATATATATATATATATGTCGTACCTAGTAGCCAGAACGCACTTCTCAACCTACTATGCAAGGCCCGATTTGCCTAATAAGCCAAGTTTTCCTGAATTAATTGTTTTTCGACTACCTAACCTACCTAACCTAACCTAACTTTTTCGGCTACCTAACCTAACCTTACCTATAAAGATAGGTTAGGTTAGGTTAGGTTAGGTAGGGTTGGTTTGGTTCGGTCATATATCTACGTTAATTTTAACTCCAATAAAAAAAAATGGCCTCATACATAATGAAATGGGTAGCTTTATCATTTCATATGAAAAAAATTAGAGAAAATATATTAATTCAGGAAAACTTGGCTTATTAGGCAAATCGGGCCTTGCATAATAGGCTGAGAAGTGCGTTCTGGCTACTAGGTACGACATATATATATATATATATATATATATATATATATATATATATATATATATATATATATAATGTCGTACCTAGTAGCCAGAATGCACTTCTCTGCCTACTATGCAAGGCCCGATTTGCCTAATAAGCCAAGTTTTCATGAATTAATGATTTTTCGACCACCTAACCTAACCTAACCTAACCTTTAAAGATAGGTTAGATTAGGTTAGGTAGGGTTGGTTAGGTTTGGTCATATATCTACGTTAATTTTAACTCCAATAATTTTTTTTTTACCTCATACGTAATGAAATGGGTAGCTTTATCATTTCATAAGAAAAAAATTTGAGAAAATATATTAATTCATGAAAACTTGGCTTATTAGGCAAATTGGGCCTTGCATAGTAGGCTGAGAAGTGCATTCTGGCTACTAGGTACGACATATATATATATATATATATATATATATATTATATATATATATATATATATATATATATATATATATATATATATATATATATATATATATATATATATATATATATATATATATATATATATATATATATATATATATAATGTCGTACCTAGTAGCCAGAATGCACTTCTCAGCCTACTATGCAAGGCCCGATTTGCCTAGTAAGCCAAGTTTTCCTCACACACACACACACACACACACACTAGTAAGTACTTGATTTTCTATTTCTTTTGATAATTAGTTATTTGTTTTATTATTATTTACGTAATATTTATATTGAGTTGCAAAAACAGTCAAATGATTACTGTAGTTGTCTTTTCTTACGGGTCTTTTAAAGTGTAAATGTTACAAGACTACCTCAAAAATACTGTATACCTCGATGAGAGGTTTTACTTTATAAAAAAATTATTCTGAAATATTTGTAACAGTAGAAAAGTAAATGCATTTTAAAATTACCTGAATTATTGCTTTAATAACGGCTATAAGTATAGTCATTGATTAGACGTATGTCCATTAGGAAAGAGGAGTGCAACTAATAATCATTATTCTTGCTGCATTATCATTTATAATAGTTTTCTAATTTTCTCTTTAATTATTCAATCAAATTTCCTTTGTCATCAATGAATGCTTCTGCAATTCTAAGGTCCTTTTAGAATTTGTGTCTTTTTCAAAGTACTGTACTGTGATATCTTCCTAAAGCATCATTGATTTAAAGATAAAGTGCATGAATGCATGCAAATCACACTATGTGCAGTGTATTCATATTTGTGTGTATTGTACTTGTAAATATATAAATGCCTGTAAAAATTATGGTTGCCTTTCTACTACAGTAACAAAAATTAAACATTCTTGGTTCAATAACAAAAACTGGCAAGTTTAAACTAGCAGTATTATCTTTGTACATATAATCTCTTCCTCCTTTTGAATACCTTGTTGTTGCAAAGTATTCCCGTGGGCACCATTGGCTGAAAATGACCGATATTACATGGTAAACCAATGGTGCCCACTGGGCACATATTGGACAAGCAGCATTAGGATTTAATGTATATTTTAAATGCTTTAATGTAACCATGATGCAAAAACCTTGTAATGTCCATTCATTTTGTATGAGCAAGTGTATATTTATTGAAGTCACAAGATTTATGGCATAAGTCATATTATCCAAACAAACTTTTAATGTGTAACGTATTATTACGTGTACATATTTTGGTTGACTAGACACAGAGTTTAGTGGTTTCTTATATAGTACTGTATTTATTTAGTATAATCTTGGTTACAGCAGTCAGTTTGTTGGCAATGTAGTGGAGTGTTGTAGTAGTTGAGACGAAGCTTGGAGCAGGGCAGAGAGCCGAGTGAGGCTGGGGATAAAGAGCTCTGATGAGGGGGTGAGAGTCATAAAGCGTGGCACTCTGAATGCGGAAGGAGTTGAGGAGCTCAAGTGCTAGACAAGAGCATGGAAGCTTCATGTACCCGGAGTTTGGCTGTCTGTTCTGTGTCGAAGCTGAAGCATCTTGGGAGGGTAGGAACTGGACACGTCGAGTGTTATTGTTGGTGAATGTTGAAGATGTGTGGTATCTCTCAAGCATCTGTACTGAACCATTCTTTAAGTTAGACTGATGATTGATTGATGAATATTAAGCCACCCGAGAGGTGGCACGGGCATGAATAGCCTGTAATGATGATTGTTGTTTAAGATTCAGCTACTGGGAACAAAAAGTTCCATGTAGCACAGGCTATGGTGAGCCCGTAATGGACTTACCTGGCACAGGAGCGGGGCTGTGAGGTGATGATTCGTTATCGACTGTTTATATTACCAGTCCTACTCACATGATCATCCTCTAGCAGCTTTGGGAAGAGGTATTATTTGTAATTGGTGGACTAAGTAGAATTAACAGAGCCATCTCATTATCTACACATAGATAATGAGAATATGGAGCAAGTATATTACTGACATAAATGCTACAATTGTATATTCTGAAAATATTTATTTAATTCAGTAATGCAATGGATGTAAGGCTCTTTTAAAAGGTTACAATTAGGTGCAAATTGTGCTTTATAGTACAATTTAAATAAGATCTGTTTTTGTGTATTATTATGAATGAATGTTGCAGTATATTGCACCTGACAGTAACAGATAATATGTACTTCCTAATATTTAGTATTTTAGCATGGTATTTGTGCACTATTTTGATAGTGGTATAATGCCAAAGAGGAACAAAAAGGCTGTACCTTAAATATATAATATGGTTTACTCAATGCCATTATTAATAAATAACACTTTTCTTATTGATTTTATTTTCCAGTTTTCTAGGTCTCTCGATATCTCGCACCTATCAAACCGCAACACGCCCTTGTGAGTAATAGTCACTGAGACCAGAGTTGTTTCACCACTAGTTCCACATCCTCACCACAGGGTGGCAACACTAGGAGCTTGTGGCTCAAGCCAGTGCACCTCCTCTGTCATTCACCTGGTGCTACCTTGTGCAGTGCTCCATCAGTTGCCTTTGCCCTTCAGGTCCCAGTTTTTCCAGATAAGTGGCCAACCTTTGAAGTCTGTCCTGTAAGGGCTATTTGTTTATGTACTGTTCCTCTTTTGGTATTTGCTTCTTGAACATGTTTTTCCAAATCTCACTCGTGTGGACTCGGGAAAACTGTTCACGTTGAGCTACATGACTTAGGATTGCTTCCTTGGGTGCTCACTGGTGTTGCTCCTGCCCTGGCAGCATTGCCTTCCATGGTGGATTCAAGATTTTGTCCCTGAGAGTGCTGTGGAGGGTGCCTCAGCCCGAGTAGTGCATGGGTTTTTGACTCTGCTGGGCTCAAGGTTGGAGTGGTCAGGGTTTTCATCTGGGGGTTCAAATGCTCATTATGCGGTGCGTACAGGTTACGCCCTTCTAAACCATGCTTGTCATATAGATTATGTTCAATATTTGTACCTATGGTGAATAGCCCTGATGCATGGTGACCATGCATGGTTCTTCTTTCAGGGCCTGGTAAACCCGTGCAGTCTTTGGTGTGATTCGGGATGTTCCAGTCTGCCCTCGCTTGGTTCAAGTAAGTAATTATCAAAAGAAGGCAGCAAGCCGGGTTGCTGGGTTCAAGTTTGTGGGCAGTAGTGCCGTACCTCAGTTTTGTTTCTGACAATGGTCTTTCTCTCTGCCTCTGCTGGTTCCCTGCCTTGTGAATTTATCAATTTTGAGCACTAAACCTTGGTTTTTACTCAAGCCATGTCCTGTTACACCAGGGTGATTTCACTTTGAATAGTAAATATAAATGAAATATATATATATATATATATATATATATATATATATATATATATATATATATATATATATATATATATATATATATATATATATATATATATATATATAAATTTGGTAAGTTATATATGTGTTGGTAAGTTCCTATTCTCTTCTCTTCCCCAAGTAGGTCTCTCTGACTTTGTGAACTGTTTTCATCTTCTCTCATTACATTCTTTTGTCTTTACTTCACCGTTTTGCTAGACTTTTGGACTGTTCCTCTTGGCCTTTTGGTTTGTCTTCCTGGCTCTGCGAGCTTGCTCCTTGACTTGTCCTGTATCTTGCTTTGTGTACCAGTTCAGTTTTTATTACGACATTCTCAGTTGCTGTTTCAGGTCTTTCCCCTCTTCAGCCTGTTTGGAACCCTCAGACTGTTGATACTGGGTGTGGTTTTCTCTTTGAGGATCAGTTTTTCATTTGAGCCTATTTCAACAACTGCCTGATTTGGGCTTCCAACCAGTCTGTCTGCTAGCTGCAGGTCTTGGTGGTGGCTGTGATGCTCCTCACCTTTGCTGTTTGTTTCTTCCTTTGGTATTTAATGGCTGTTGCTCTGCCTTGGCTAGTCTCTTTATAGGTGGTTAGACAGGGTTGGAAGTGTATCTTCATTCTCTCTGTGCCATCTTTCTGCCAACTGGTGTCTGCTTGCTTTCTTATCCCCCTCTGGAACCTCTTGTGGGAACTGCTCCATTTTCTTTGTTTTCTGGAATGCTTGTGCAGTGTGTGTCAACAAGCAGAGTTCTTCTCTGGTTCTTCCTGGCTGGCCTAGATTGGGTTCCTAATTGCCTAGCAGGGGTTCCGATTGGTTCACTCATGGACTCGTGTATGGCTGGGTCTGGTTTATATTTGATTGGATTCTCTGTCCTTCTCTCAGTCGACTCAGTTCTGCTTGGGTTTCCCGTTTGTCTGGTGCTAGGTCCCTCTGCACTACTTTTTGCTGTTGTGGGGCCTTTGCACCCATGCATTTCTTTCCTCCCTTGCCTTTTCAGGCTGGGGTGATTAGGTGGTGGTGGTCCAGTAGGACCTTTACTTGCTCTTAGTTCATATTGTTATGGTGTGCCTGTACATGCATGCATGCAGTACTCCTCGGCAGTTGTTTAGGTGGCGGAGTTTTGGGCCCGTTTTGTTTGACCCTGGGTGGTGCTGTGGCTCTAAGCATTCCCCCTAGTTCTCTGTTTTGGCTCTGCAGGGCCTCTTGCTAGTTGCCTTACAGTGCTTGTTGCAAAGCTCCATTAGCTTCTGGATTTTCCCTGTCTACTCATTCATTTGTCTTGCCACTGGTGTGAGATTTTGTGCCTTGTGTTTCATGGGTGGCTCCAGGTGGTTGCTCAGTTTCTCATTGTATTAGAAAAAAGAATGGTCCTAGAACAAAGCCCTGTGGAACACCACTAAAAACTCTTCTCTGACCTGATAGTCTCTCAGACTATGACCCCTTGTTTCTGGTTATCCCAGCATTTCTCTCAAATTTATGCTTACTATCAATGATCGAGTGAATGAGATCTAGCAACTTTAAAAGATATGGATGGAATTTATGTCAATAACCTCCTTTTTAAGTGCAGTCCACTTACCAACCACCCATACAGGAAACTTTGTCCTCTAGAGCTATGAGGAAAAAATTCTTTCAACTTGTCTTCATCACTGAGGCCTCTCAATTCTTGAACTAATCTAGTTGCAGACCTCTGAACTTGCTTCACAAGATGTGGGTTCCATGCTGGTACTGCATATTCAAATAATGGTCTCACATAGGCAATGAGTATGGACTTGAAATCACCCTATTGATTGGTATTCTTCTAAAATAATCTTTCCTGCCTTTTCCCTTTTCACAGACGCCGTCTTGTTGAATTGACTGATATACAACATGAATCTTAGTTCTGGCTTTGTTGTTTACTCTTCTCTTTCACAATACATACTCAAATACTCTTAACCTTTCTAACAAACATGGCCTAACATAAGCCTACCCCCACCTTTTCTCTTTCTTCTCTTATTCTTACATTCCCTTTCTTATACCCATACCATCCATACTTTCCACCTTGCTTTCACCTTCCTCCTCCTCGCCTCTCTTGCCTTACTTGATACCCGTGCCTCCCTCACTCCAAACTATTAGCTCACCATAGCCCGTGCTGCCTTGGAACTTTGTTCAGGGTAGCTGAATCTAAAACAGCAACAACCTCACTCCCAACACAATCGACGTGATAATGGTTTAGGACAGACCGAAACGTCGTCCTCTCATCTTCTGGTGTGTGGTTTAGACTGCATGGACTTGAAAGCTTCCTTTATATGGGTTCTTAAATGAGCTCTTCCCACTTTAATAATTTTCCCAAGTGTGTTCCTCCATGCTACCACATATTCTGTATGACTAATGATCATTAGTGAATACATTGTTGCACTTGGTGACACATTACTGCTATAGATTGAGGAGTGAAGTTCAAAGTATTTCAGGTGCCACTAGTTTTAATTCCCAAAAAGCATTGCCTGCTCCATACAGTAGACCTACAGGGTTGAAGTTCTAAAACTTTGCTACTAGAAGTGCAAATAATTATGCAGTACAGTATCATACAAATAACATAATATAATATCAACAAGTATTGAAGTAATGAAACAAGTTGTGAATTTATATTTATTAAATATCAAATAAGCCACGTTATATATGTACATATATATATATTATATATACTGTATATATATATATATATTTATTTTGTCATACCTAATAGTCAAACCCACACTACTAGGCACAGTAAGCCTATATGAGCAATTTCATATATTTTTAAATATATATTTAGAAATTAGTCTTTCCACAATAAAATTAACTATTACTGTATATTGATTAGTTAAGCTTAGTTTTACCTGTTATGTACAATTCAATAATTATAGGAATGTTGGTTGGATTTTTTTGTTTAAATTATAAAATATGCAAATTTGTTAATAATGAACTTGCTCAATATGTTATATTTAAGTTTTCAGCAGCTATTTAGTAAATTTGGCTTGTTCAGCAACTCTTGACTGCTGAACAACTTATGACAAGGCATAAAATATTACATTATAGATGGCATATATATTGTGCATAATAGCCAGTTGCATTACAAACAAAATTACATTAAAGGTTTGCATATTCAACGATTTAAATTCGTTGTTTGATGGATATATTTAATGAAATAAAACATGATTTTTTTTTAATTCGAGCCAAAACCAACTTCAGCAACCTGACCGTAAATATATGAATTATTCCTCAATGCTGTCTAACATAGGTAAAACTAGGCCAATGTAAGTAATTCTTGTTCTCAATATACATTATTATTAGCATTCTGATGATGCTAAAACACATCATTCACTCTTAAAAAAAAAAAAAAAAATTGTATTTGCACTTTTATAATGAAATTCATGAAATACAAGAGCAGTGTGGGCAGAGCTTATCAGAGGACAAAAAATATCACTCATGACAATAAAGGCTCTGCCCATGTGTATTTAAAATTATGTAACAAAAAGTATGAAAGTTTTTTCTTTTTGCAGCTAAATAAATTAACCATGGGTACACATTTCTTTTTATGTTGAAAAATAAATGCGGAATGTTAAAATGTTTATAAACATTTGTGCATTCAGTACCATCATGCAGGATCTATTATCAATACACAGTATTTTTTCTATCTATACTCTAGAACAGCATTTCTCAACCTATATGGTTTGTACCCTTGAAATAATTCTAGGTTGCATTTTAGATAACACACAATGAAATCAATGTCAACTGAAAGGAGAGTATTTCTGTCTATGCTTTCTCGATACTGGTTAAATGACAAAAATTAAATACAAAAATACATTTGCACATGATTAGAATTAGGCTATTTATCACTATCGCTTACAGAACCTTTAGTTATCTTGGGGTTCCATTGAACACTAGTTGAGAAAGATTGCCCTAGAACATTTTGAATATTAAAAAGAAAAAAAAAAGAAAAAAAAAACCTTGGAACCATAAAAAGCATATAAGCCTATTATTTCCCACTGAGCGGGGCCCAGATAGTCCCAGAATGTTTATGGTTGGACAGCGAGGAGCCATAACACTTGAGCGCCAAGAGCAAACTAGCTTCAAAACATATGTTTGAAAATAAAAAAATTGCTCTGATTAGGCAAAATGGTTTCTGATTATTAGGTAAGACACCATATATTACTATATATATATATATATATATATATATATATATTAAATATATATAATAATGTGTGTGTGTGTAATTTTTAAATATATCACTTGAGTTTGTACAAAAATATTTCTTCTATAAAGTAAGGATGAGGTTATATCACACAGTTTCAATTCATATTGGTTTTCAAGCATTCACTGTTCACTTCCAGCAATATAGATATATTCACAACTGGCACACATTATATTCTCTTTCTGCAAAAATATATTTTCAGATATGTCATAATTTGGAACAGAATATTTTGCAATTTTTTTTTAAATTATACTAAAACCTCTTGAAAATATTATTAAACAGCATATTAAAGATAGGCAATGCTTACAAAATACAATTAAAATATCAAACATTATGGGTATTGTTTACAAATGACATTATTATGAGAAGCCACACTAGACAAAAATTAGACTTCTGGTATAACTGGCAAGGCTGAACAATACCAAACTTTGGCATATTGATCACCTGGCACCAACCTGACAAACAAACAGGACTGATCAATTATGGATTTATTATTTTAATTATTAAATAACATTTGCTATGAACACAATTTTATCCTTTTTGTGAAGAGGAAAGAATGTATGGAAAAATACATAGGCGAGAGGCAGAATAAATTTTTGTTAGCCAATGAATTATATTAGTACAGTATATGAACTTTTTAACTTGTTTAAAAAAAATAAGTATAATTTAAATTTCAATATTAACCTTACTATGTTCAATTAAGTATTAGTTTTGTATGCCATTTTTTCTTATCTGTATCATAAGCTTATTTCGTCAAAAGAATTAGGCATAAACAATGTTTGTAAGCAACATGTAGACCAACTCAAGTTCACAGGAAACCAAAATTTAAAAATTAAGTTATAGTACCTTATCACTATTACAATTTCTCAAAAAAAAAAAATGTACTTTAATCTTACTATTAAAACATAATTTATCTACATAATAAATAGAACCAAGTTTTACATTTTAATATAGTATTGTGTGTCCACCTGAATAAAAGTATATTCATGTTTTAACAAAAATTACAAATAATTTTGATGGAATACAAGTGGATTACAGGCAGCTTCCAAGTGTAACTGGAGTTCATATACAACAAATAATAAATTAAGCATGTAAAAAATTCAGAATTGGTGAAAATGCCTATTCAGCTTCAGCAACATTATTTTAATACAATATTTTTGTTTTTATTTATAGTCAAAATTTCAATTAAAATTGGAAGACAATAATGCAAAGTATTATGAATTGGAATGAATAAATATTGGGAGTGTGTTGCTGCCACCTCTCTGCCGCCTGACTAACATGCACCATTTTAGACTTGGGGTGTAAAGACCAACCATAACATTTTTAAAATACTTCAAGCAATTGCAGGGGAAAAAACACTGTTTCGAGCTAGACATGTTGAACAAAATCAACATAAAGTTCAGACAAGAAATAATTACCAGAAACCTATGCCATGCCCCAAACAAATAAGGATACATTATTGTATAATAAAATACATAACAAATCACTAAACAATCTTATTAACTTTTGTTTAAAATGTATAACTCGAACAGAGTAGAAAAGTAAATGAATTATTGTTTAAGCAGACTTCTCAATGTAAATTTGTGTACTGAAAGGTCGAGGTGTTCTCGGTATATATGGTTGAAAAATATTAATAAAAACATGTGGCCAGTGAATACTGCACTAACTTTCACAAAGACAAAGATTATATGTATACAGTTATGAATGCATCTCATCAACTTCTGTATGCTGAAAACCAAATCACAATAGTAATCTTTAGTTTACACTCTACAAGAATTGTCAAACCATGATCATCACTGTAAACAAACAAGTTGGACTATAATACAAAGCTATAATTAGCTTTTGAGCATTCCAGATTGATGTGTATTATACTAGGAATGTCTGCTACAGTGGAATCAAACAGTACAAGACATAATTATATTCATAAATAGTTATATGTACTTAATACTTTTTACAGTTCTGGGATACCCAAAGGTAAAGGCATCCATTTTGTTCTCATTTATTTAAAATGGTCACCTCCAATGAAGTTTATTATAAAGAAATTCTGCATAAATACAAACATGATATAATACTCTTCAGAAGACACAGATGCACCAATGTGATTATATTATGAATTATGTTAACCCAAGAAACTGTACAAAAAAATATTGTGGGGAGATAAGGGCCTTCAATTAAAACTGTTTAAATTACATATAAAGCCTTAATAATTCATCCAGACATGTACATATAACAGTAGGCTATGTTGAGGTATGAATATGTAAAATATATAGTGAATGACAACTTGATGAAAAGATTAACAATGGTACTCTGTTCTTTATGGTACAAGAATAGTACAAGTCACCAACCCACCAAATTAGTCTTTATTAATAATCCTATTTTTCACTGGGCATGAGAATAACTATTTATTTTAGTTTCTTATGAGCCTTAGTTTACTCGATCCATCCCACCATTCCTTCTATTTTCAAAGATGCAGCAGCAAAATTGTATCATTATCCTGACAAGTTTCCATGATGCCCAAACACAGTTACACTTAACACCTGCTTGCATGTTAAAAAAAAAAGTATTGTTTTGGGGAAATGAAGGAATGCAATTATGGTATGTGGGAAGGAAAAGATGTGCAGGATGTGATTTTTGGATAAAAACCTGTTTCAGGGAGTGTGCCTGGGAGAAGACTAATATGACAAAATTTAGGGGTAGATCTAAATGACAAACAAAAGTGACAAGAAAAAACCCAACACTGTGACAATGCAACGTGATGCAAAGTGAAATTGTCCTTACACATAAAAAGCAGACTGTTTTAACTTAATGGCTCAAGCATCAAAACCAGAAAATATATCACTGGATGAATAATGAATCAATATATTTCTGGCATAAGATACTCAATGATGAAAAATTAACCTATATTCACAAACTCAGGGTGATTACAATGAGTGAAATGATGGATCTTCTATTTATTTAAATATCTACATATATTATCTAATATACAGAGTCATCTTTCAAAAGACGAGTTTTATTTACATTCACAGCCATAAGGAGACACGGGTCTCACAAGTGATACCTTGAAATTTTCAAGACACACTGAGGTACACATTAAAGTTTTAGAGGGATTCTATAAGTGTTGTCCTTAATTATTCTTACTTTGTTTCAATGTTTCGACTGTCAACACTACTAACCGAGGCCATTTCCACAGCCAGAACTTCTTGAAATTTATATCATGCAGTATTTCAGATTAATGTTGCAACTGAATATATGCAACTAATACTATAAGTTTAAGAGAAATCTTTTTGATATGCCGGAGGTCGGTCTTGACGTTCTTTTCCCCATTCTTGTTGAGGTCTGTCGGGTCTGTCCATTCTTTCCTTCTGAACCCAATCTGGACGGTGAGCATTGAATGGTGGAGGTCTGTGTGGCATTTGGCCTGCTTGGGGCGGGCCCCCATACATACCTGGGCCTGATGGATGTTGAGGATAATAGGGAGGACCATATCCACCTGGAGGCCCATAAGGGTGTTTAGGATGATGAGGTCGTGCACCCCATTCAGCTCCACCTCTGTGGTATCCATGAGGTTTATAACCTTCACGATGATAACTTCCCCCTCCTTCTCTCTTATTGTAATCTTGAGGATATCTGCAAAAAATTAGGATCATTGTAAAAAAGAAAGTATTTGCTATAATTACATAGGTTATCTTGAGGTTATCTTGAGATGATTTCGGGGCTTTTTAGTGTCCCCGCGGCCCGGTCCTCGACCAGGCCTCCACCCCCAGGAAGCAGCCCGTGACAGCTGACTAACACCCAGGTACCTATTTTACTGCTAGGTAACAGGGGCATAGGGTGAAAGAAACTCTGCCCATTGTTTCTCGCCGGCGCCTGGGATCGAACCCAGGACCACAGGATCACAAGTCCCGCGTGCTGTCCGCTCGGCCGACCGGCTCCCCCTGTATCAAATTACATGATGTAATTTATTACACACACACACTGCTCTAGTAAAAATATTAAAATTTCATATTGCAAGGGATACTTCTTGATACATTTCTCTTGTTCCACTAAAACTAGGGAAAGTTTGAACAATCAAGAACAAAATAAATTAAAGTGATCTTATTTACACAGAATACTACATATTATTGCACTAACCAAAATGCAGATAAATGTAGAAAATTGGGAACTATTGGCTGAATATCAAATTAAGTGATTCAAACTATTTCACACATTAAACGAAGAGGAAGCAGCCCATAGCAGCTGTCTACCTGGTACCTATTTACTGCTGGGTGAACAGGGGCATCAGGGTGAAAGAAACTCTGCCCATCTGTTTCTGCATCCGCTGGGGGATAGAACCCGTAACCTTATGACTACAAATTCTGAGCGCTGTTCACTCAGCCGTCAGGCCCCTAGAAGAGCCAAAGAATGTAAAAAAAAAAAAAAAAAGAAGAAGAGAACAGCGTTGAATGTAACGCAACGTCATTTTCTTGGTGAGCCCTAGGAGATTACCGGGGATATGTATGTATTAGACCGTGGCATCAGTCGATTGGAGTTCTTGCCTACCGGGGACCACGAGCCAGAACCTGGTCCCCCTAGAGAGGCACGAGGAACAATGGCCTCTGGAAACCTCCATGTAATTGGAAGCATTCTATGTCTGCCACTGACTGCCATCATTTTCATAAATATTAAAGGCGATGGGTAATAATAACGGGTAATTTAAAGTGCTATTTTATTTATTTACCTTAAATATTACACTATATTTCCACCAAGGTTAGGATCCTCTGAACTTTAGAGTAGGATCATAGTTTAAAAAGAACCCGGTTACGAAGGGTTCGTAACAAGGAGTGTAAAGGAGAATAGAGTTAAATAATGTAAAGAAGATTTAAACAATGTAAATAACTAAAGAATGTACTTGAGAGATAAGGAATGTAAAGCTGAAGTGTGCAACTTAGATCATAATGTGAAACAAGATCTAAATAATGTGTAGATGAGATAAAGAATGTAAAGAAGTGATTAGTGAGCCTTTGTTTTGCAAGTTTAATAAATCATTACCATAAAATCAGAATACTGAAATCATGGAAGTTGCAAATATTGTGCCAATTTTTAGAAGAGAGCTCGCTTGTGGCAAACTTTTGTCCAATTAGCTTACATCTATTGTAGGAAAATTTCTTGAATCATTCATCTAAAAATGTTTTTACTTACATCTTGCAAAACAGACTAATAAAGGATTTGCAATGTGAATAGTATTGATTACTGGCTATGGTTTACTCACGTACCTTTCCTTGAAATCCCTTCCCCCAGGATTTCCGTGCCAGTCTCGGCCAGGCACAGCATGATTGCGGTAGTAGCGATCTCTATCACGATCTCTCTCCCTCTGCCTGTCTCTATCACCACGATCTTTCTCTCTTTCACGATCTCGGCTCTTGTCTCTATCACCCCACTTCTCGCCTTCTCGGCCCCTAAAATATAATTAATAACAATTCATAATACAAATGAAAACTTTATTACAGTTATACCAAAATAATAGTAATTCTTATAACCCATTTTCATTTGTATAAGAGAGAACATTTCCTCTAATTGTATGATGTTATGTGGCCAATGTGTAACAAAGCAAACAATTGTTGCCACAATATAAAAAGACCAACCATGTTATAGAAAAAGATACAGTTCATAGAAAAGACTATTTTAATCAATTTGATAACCAACAAATTCTTCTGACTCATTCAATATAGTGAATCCAATTCACTGAACATGATTAAAAATATGAGTTAACAAAATTTTTTCGTTTTGGTAATGTTCTACTAAATATAGGTCGAGTTAGGAAAGGATATGATCAATGATAATTAAAACTCTAATAAAGAGATGTTTCAGAATTTTGAAGTATTGAACTGTATAATGCAAACTGAATTAAATATAACCTAAATCATGCCACTTGATGGCCTAAGACATGAGCATGCACAACCAACCTCTGTGCCCACCCGTTATAAGGCTTCTTAGATGGGCTGTGGTTGCCACTTTCTTCCGGTTTTCTCTTCTGGGAATGGTGCTTGTCTCTGCTCTCCTTATCTTTCTTCTTTTCGTGGTCCTTATCCTTCTTTTCTTTCTTTTCGTCTTTTTTATCCTTATCATCTTTATCCTTCTCTCCTTCTTTCTTATCTTCTTGTATCTTTCTATTTTTTTTGTACAGTTTATGAAGTTTTCTTGCATCATATTCCGTAAACTTGGAGACAAACTGCCACAACAGACTGAAAGGTAAAACAATATTGAAATTCTATGCAACATCTATCCATCCATTCCTCTCTCTCCCTCTTATATAAAGTACATAAGTAACTATTTGTGTGAATATAATCTTTTCATATTTTCTCTGTAAAAAAATAAAAAGTGGAAGTGTGGCTTACAGGAGAATGCAATGCTTATTTAATTTACACAAGCTTGTTATCTTGAGATGATTTCGGGGCTTTTTTTTTAGTGTCCCCGCGGCCCGGTCCTCGACCAGGCCTCCACCCCCAGGAAGCAACCCGTGACAGCTGACTAACACCCAGGTACCTATTTTACTGCTAGGTAACAGGGGCATAGGGTGAAAGAAACTCTGCCCATTGTTTCTCGCCGGCGCCTGGGATCGAACCCAGGACCACAGGATCACAAATCCAGCGTGCTGTCCGCTCGGCCGACCGGCTCCCCTAAAGCTCTTTATCATAATTCCTCACTAGTTGTCTACATCCAAATGATCATCACCACATCACCTTAAGTCATTACTGTCCACTTGATGAAAAGCTACAAAACAACAAATCTTGTTTTGATATGAATGAACATTTTATTTCTTCAAATACAAGATCTAAGGCAAGGAAGTAACTAGAAAGTTAGCATAATTTTAATATTATAATAATCTGATGTAATTGGAAGGAGGTACAATGCTAGTATGCTCTGGAGAGAAGCTTTATAAGACACCACCAGCATGGGTTCATGGATGGTAAATTGTGCCTCACAGGTTTAATTAATAGAATTCTATGACCAGGAATAACAGGTAATGTGCTCTAGTGAATAGGGGAGTATCTAAGCAACAGAAAACACCAAATTACTGTGAAGGGTAAAAGACCTCAAGAGTGGCAAGATGTCACCAACCTGGCTAAACATAAATCAAAGTTAGAAAGATTCAGAAAATTCCTTCGAAGACAGAAGTTAGGGGGGAGACATGATCACCACCAACAAAATTCTCGGAGGAATTGATAGGGTGGATAAAGACAAACTATTTAGCATACGTGGAACATGAGAAAATAGACATAAGTGGAAACTTGGTACTCAAGTGAGTCACAGACACATTAGAAAGAATTTTGTCAGTGTCAGGGTAGTTAACAAATGGAATGCCCTAGGAAGGTGATGTGGTGTAGGCAGACTCCATACACAGTTTAAAATGTAATTATGATAGAGCCCAATAGGCTCAGGAATCTGTACACCAGTTTATTGATGATTGAGAGGTGGTACCAAAGAGCCAAAGCTCGACCCCCGCAAACACAACTAGTTGAGTACACCTCCAAACAAATCCAGAAAAAAGGCACTTTTATAGCTTTTGCCAAATTAATACAATCCAATTTTCTTTATAAGCATAATTCCTCTGTATCTCTATTAAAATTGATAAAGTCCTTACAAACAAAATAATATTTATACAGTTTACTTAAAGCCTACTCTCATCCTTGTTTCTCAATAATGATGGCTTTACTAGAAGACCTTATGTCATATTTTATTATATTTAAATTAACATGCAGTATTTTAAATAATACTTTGTATAGACCAACCACAAATAATGTGCCGCTGGTATGAATGCTGAGGGAGAGAGAAAGACCTTTTCCCACTCATACAAAACTAGAGAAACCGTACCTTTTCCACTCACGCACAGAGTCTGGATCCTTCAAAGATTCAAGGCAACGTTCGATATGGTCTCCAATTTGCACTAAACAGCGTCTTGTGTGTTGAATTTGTTCTTCTTGGTTTAAACTCTCATTGGGATTGTCAAGAGTTTTCAAAGCTTTCTTCATGGGTCTCATCTTCTCTTTGCACTGAAAAATATTAACTTTTTTTAGAACTATGATGCCTGAATGATTCATAGTAGCTAGTGTATTCTCATATTGAGACTAAGAACTATTTTCATTGTATTATTACAAATATTTTAAAATTCATAATACTTTTTAGAATTTTACGTTTATCTCTTTAATTATTTACCTTTTGCTCAGTATATAAAGCCCTTATAGGCAAAATACCACTGTTAATAAAGCCTACTCTCAACTTAGTGTTCCTCTATACAAGGCAAGAGAATATTATATAAAAATTCTTTCCTCTATGTTTTCCTTAAACTGAACTGTATCAAGCCCAAATACATTCAAGAAAAAGTATAACCTATTCTTAAAATATTAATACAAACTGAATTATGGTGTGTAAGGAAAGTATTATCCAGAAAAATTTAGTAGATGTCTAAATTGGTTAGAGATAAACTTCCAATGATAATGTAAGAACCTCAAATTTCCATTCAATTACAGTTTGCAGTCCCCAGAGCAAAGATTTTCTAGTGGGAGATGCCTCCATACGACTCCCAACTCCTCTCATTGGACTTCATAAAACCCTGAGTTTAATTTGAATTTGAAAAAGTTATGATTGTCTAGTTTGGTAACTAAACACTCAACATACCTCATCCCACAGAGGGTGAGTTTTGTCCAACTCCTTTGTTTCATCTAAAGGAACAGGTTCTCCATTTGCTGTTATGTGCACAGGTCCAGCTTTCTTCTCTTTCTCCTTTTTCTCCTTCTTCTCTTTCTTCTCTTTCTTTTTCTTTGCTTTTTCTGCATCTTTGCTGTCTGTTTCTTCTTTAACTTTAGCTTTATCTCCATCTTCTTTCTCCTCTTTTGAATCTTTAGATTTTGGCTTGGAATCCTTGTGTTCTTTTGTTTCCTAATAAAGATAAACAAGATATAAGATATATTTGTAATAGGATTTGCAACATAATTGTATATTTGAGTTTGTGAAGTATGAAAGTAATTATGTAGTTTAAAAAATTACAAAAACTACTGCCTTATATCAAGATTTAATCAAATGTACATATATACAATACATTAGCCCCTGAAAATACAGTCCAAGATGTCCTTCCTAAAGACTTGGAAGTGCTGTAGATTCCTCACTTGCCACCACAAGTGATCAAGTGAGGCTTCTCTACTTCAAAGTAGCTCATCAAACAGGAAACAAAGGAATGTGGTGAGAGGAAAATGTTAGGGCAGAGGGGAAGATGCAAGAGGAATTATGCAAAGTTCGGTACTTAAACCACTATTAATGACCTCATGGAGGAGGCAAGATTGAACATGATAATATTTGATGATGAAAAATGATGAGGGATAAGAAATGAAGAGGATTGTACAACACTACTGCAGGATATAGACTGGCTGCAAGAATTACCAGACAAATGGCTACCGGAGGTTAATACAAAATATTTTTAAGAATGAGGCTTGGAAGAGTGGACCTAGTGGGCATTATATTTATGTGTAACATTAATTCAACAGTTAATCAACATAGCACCTTATATAACACTACAGGGATGCTTACAAAAAATCCCTGTTGTGCCAGAGCTTGGATGTCATCCTACCTGACAATTTTTTAATCTTATCTATGGCAAATTTTGAATTTTTTATAACAAAAAAAAAAGTAAATTTGAGAAGATGATGAGAAGCATTCAATAGCTCAGAAAACTTACAAATAGATTAGTAACAACTGGTTTTGCAACTAACAAATAGTTTAGTAATAACTGGTGTTTGAAGAGAATCATGAAGTAAACAATTTGTGGCACATCATAACTATAAGTAAACACTAGAATTAACAGCATGCATTAATGCACCTTATAGAAGCAATTTTGGTTTTAGGAACAAAGAAAAAACCAGCACTGAATGTAATGAAACACCATTTTCTAGACGAGACCTAGAGGCTCCCTGGAGCTAACCGGGCTGATAAGACCCTGGCATCAGTCAATGCACTTGGAGTTCAAGGCCTACTGGGGACCACGAGCCAGAACCTGAGGTGATCGCTCACCGTCATGCTTGTTCGCTCATTTTCATTTGGGGAGTTCTGTCCACTAGTTCGGCTTTCAGTAGCAATATTTTAACTAGAATAGGGGTTTGTTTTGGGGCGTTTACCTTTCTGGGTGCCTGACCCGATAGATGGCACATAGAATGCTTCCAACCACACGGGGGTTTCCATAGGCCATTGCTCCTCGTGCCTCTCTGAAGGTGGGTCAGGTTCTGGCTCGTGATCCCCAGTATGCCTAGAACTCCATGCGCATTGACTGATGCCAGGGTCTAATACATTCTTATCAGTCCGGTTAGCTCCGAGGAGCTGAAGGGGCTCCCCCCAGAAAGACTCATTATTTACCTTAGATGTCTTCTTCTGGTTTGAGCTAGTTCCATGAGAGGAGTTTGTCAGCCCATCGTCAGAACTATCATCATTTTCTATTATGGCTTTCGAAATTCCCTTTGGTTCTTTAATAATCTTTCGTGGTTTTATTGGTTTGCGAATATTTGGCTGTTGAAAAAATATTAGATTTAAATGATAGTAGTTTAAGTTTTTTTAAGCTAAACCCTTTGCAAAAGTATTTAAAAAAAAATTGATCTTATATAAAGAGATTACAGGGAAATTCACAAAGCTTGGAAACAGGTAATTTACTTCATATTTAAGACATTGAACACTTACCTTAACAGGTATTAGACCCATGTGTTTCTTGATGAGTTTAAGAAGATATTGTGCTCTGCTTTCTAAATGTTTTCCCTGTGGTTTATGGTCACCAGGTAGGAGTATTTTGTCTCCCAAGTTAAGAGCTGGATCAGCCTTAATCAGCGCCCATGAACCCATTCCAAACTCATAGATGCCACAAAGCAATCTGTAAGTGTAAAAATTCCTCATACTGTTAGGATTTTGAGCACTCAAAATTTTCATTTCAGCCAATATTTTACTTACATAGAGTTTGATTATTAGGACTAATTATCAGATAACTGAAAATCCAGAAACTCAAAAAAAGGTTTATTTGAGTTTTATCGTTTCATAATTTTTGTATTTATTTATTTTAATAGAAACATGATAAAAACATATGTAATGGTGTTTTAATACAAATGCACCAAAGTTTATTTAGGAAACCGATTAAATTTTGTGTTTTTAGAATGTGTCTCTCGTCCCGAATCAAGCCGAGACTTCACTGATACCGTGGCAATACCGCCTCGTGCACTAAACCACATTGTATATAATACATTGGGCCACTGAAACTCACCCAGAGTGGGTTAAATTATATTCAACACCGGTTTTCTGGAGGGTTTGAATGGTGGCATCCCGTAGCTAACTAACCTCAAAGTAGAAGGAAAAACTGGAACTTACCAGGGAAGAGAGTGAAGCTTACATTCATAAAGAAGAGAACTATGGACGAGAAACCCAACCCAAGGCAACACAAGCCTAAAAGGGATCAGAAACAATGAGCAGATAAGAAGCCACTAGGATCGTTTGACCTTTGATCGTTTGAGCCCTTGAGCCCTAATATCAGCCCATGACAAGTAGGAAAAAACCCTTGGGGTTCAGACAGGGCACAAAGAGCCAGAAATCAATGCTGAGCCAGCCACCAAGCTGCCAGAATGATCACCCTGCCTATGTAAGACTCCAATTTAGACAACACCTAGACAAACAGCTAAACCAGAGGAAACAGGTAAACAACCCCCCACCTCGACTAGTCCAGTCAAAAGGTATCTACCACGAGAGCCTCACAATCAGGGACCAGAGAAAAAGAAGAGGGATGCCCCTGACCCCATGTCAAGGTGAAAAGGTCCACCTTGGGGTGACCGAGTCTCTCACAGAGCCACCAAAAAGACACATCACTGATGGTTTATTTTGTGGAAGTGGGATAGAATTTATTTTGTGGTTCACATTTATTTTGTGGTAGTGGGATAGGCCTGTATATGTCACACTTGAATTATACAGAATCCAAAGAATCCAGAAGTCGAGCTACTCATAGAATCCAAGTGTTGGTGCTATCTGGTGGTGGCTAGCTGCAGATAGGGAGGGTTCAACCTAACTACTGGAAGGATCGTTAGCAGTCATTTCTGCTTCATTCCCGTTCTTTCTGTGAACCTTGCAGTTGTCTGATTTGCAGTGATTACATTCTGGACATTTTTTGGTGAGTGTGATCATAACAATCCTCTGCTCCTTGCACCTCAGTGAGGAGACCAGGTTCTAGCTCTGATCTCAAGTAGGCCATTAAACACTCCTAAGCCTGATGTGACTTGTGTGTGCAGCTACCTCACTGAGCTAACTGTTCAGCCCCTCCAGAAAAGAAAACAAAAATATTTTTTGCTTCAAATATTTTGTGTACTGCATATATGACTGGCAGATATCTGGCTAAAATGTCTATGGATTTTGTGAAGAGGAAGCAAATTACTTTATCAATTAAGGATAAGCTTAATCATAGGAAAATACTGATTAAATCTGAAACTGAGTAAGCTTACCTTGAGTCATCAGCTATGCCCCAAGGAACATCCCAATGGGCATCTTTCACTCTCTTGATTTGTAATGTCCATGAAGCTCTCTCCACGGGAGCATGAGGAACAACATTGTCAAGTGGAGCTAATTCCTCCAAAGTTGTGAGAGTTGTTTTGGCATTAATAGCAACTCCAGACAACTTAAAAGATGGTCCTCTATCCCGTCGTTGTTTAGGTTGACCTGAAAAAATTGCAAAAGTGTTATAATTAAAATGTTGGAAAATACTCTGGAAACTTTACAATGTTTCAGAACTATGGATTATAACTTAAATATCAGAAATTACCTTCAATCTGTTAAAAAGCATAAGCTTATGGAAATTTAAACGTCCATGAATGAAATTTGAAGGTTAAATATATAATCCATATACAAGACACAACTGTGCCAGGGTACTAGTAAACTTAATACAGACATTGTCAACAATGATGTGCACAAATGCATACACAGGTTCTACACCAAGGTAATGCTGAATCAAGTTTTGGTGGTTTTCCTCTTGAGGAAGATACCAAGGCACCAGAAAACCTTGCAAATTTTGAAATACTTAATCAAGGAAGCCATATATAGGTTGGTTAACATTTGAAATGAGGTAATTGAATCCATTTTGTAGAATTTGTTAAAGGGAATCTTACCAGTTCCACTAAATGGGGAGGAAGAAAACTTAAGCTTTAAATGATTCATGATATTTTCTAACTAGTTAATAAGAATTTAGAAAGGCAGGATATTGTTGACTGGTTAGAAAAAAAAGAGAGGCTAATGGCCCCAGTTATGGTATATTGAGTGAGGTTAAGTTTCTCCAGTACATTAATGATGAGGTGGAGAAAGGAAAGGATGATGATGAGGAGGAAGCAACACAACAGACAACCAAATTCAGTGACCTTAATTTTATTAACAAATTAATTAATTGTGCGTCCTTCAATGATAGTCGAGTAATAGGAAGTTTATATCAGTACTTCAGGCACACTAAAGAGCTGATCATAAAAGATGCAAATGAAAAAAGAAGGCAAGCCAAAATAAATTTGTATTTGCTAAGATCCGAAAGCCAAAAATCTTCAACCATTGAACCCTCAGCAGCAGCTCAGTCAAACCTGACCTTGCCAAACAATTATACAATAATTTTAGGGCATGAATGGGTTAATATACAGAACTTAAGTCCTGCAATGATCAAGAGGCCTTCAGCTCTACCCACCAAGGTATATATAAGTCCTTACCATGAAGTTTAAGGCTTGGAGAACAAGCGACATACTGTACTTATAAAAATATCTAACAAATCAACACACACTTCTCACACGAATCTAAATTTTAAATCTTACCTTCCCCGTTCACGTCAGGGGTCTTTTCATTTTCTTTCTGGCTCTCATGTTCCTTCATGGATTCCTCACAACGTTCAACAATAGTTTCACCCAATTTACGCAAGTCATTCATAGGCTTTTCTCTGAGGTCAGCATCGTGAGCAATGGTATCTAGGCGGCGCAAGGGATTGCTGAACTTCTTAAAACTCTTGAAAAATCTTCGGACCTGCAATGATAATACAATTTAGAATATTTATGTAATCTTAATGTTTTATAAAATCAAGACACATTTATACATATGGTTATCAACAATGAAAAATGACAGAGGAAAAATGGACTGTTGACTGCAATGGTATTCCTTTTTCTGAACAGCACCTCATAAGCTCCTCAAAGCTCATGGCACTTGTATTACATCTCAATATCGACTTGTAACTACTAACTACACACCTGAAGCATACTTATACACACGTTCGTATACACACAAAATTCTCTCAAGATGTCTTCAACCATAAATAAAATTATTAAAATTGTGTATATTCAATAAATTCCATACCTCCACATCAGTAAAGCCTTTGATAGTTTCCTTATGGTGCATGCGAGGACGACCCCGTTTCTTGGGTCGATCATCATCAGTATCATCGTTGCTGGACTCTGATTCTTCCTTCTTTTTCTTGGAACGTGGATATTTTTCATCTTCCTAAAGGACATATGTTGACTTTTATACAATGAATGCAATAAAAAAATTATTAGATGAAAATAAATAAAGCGGTTATTTTTTATAAGGAAACACGATATTTGAAGCCATAAATGTCATAAATATTAAAAACCATGATTTTAAAATGACAATTCAGCAATGCATAATATAAATTTATAAACGCATACCTTCTGCCCCGCTTGATTCACAGTTTTTCGTTTCCTTGGCGGTAGATATAAATCTGCCATCTCCTTTTGACGCTCTTCCTCTTCTACTTTTGTTCTGAAATCTTCCGGGATAATTTCATCCTGCAGAAATATACAGTATTATGTTAATCATATTTACTAATTCCTGGAGCTGGTTTACTGTCTGCTATATTACAAGGCTGCAATAAAGTTTGAGTTAAGAAATGGTGCAAATAATATACCAAAAATTCATGTAAATCATTAGATTAAACCAAGCTGGATTACAAGTAGCCAATCAAGTACAGTATTGAAAATAGTTATTTAAACAAATTAAACATCTTAAAGCAGCAACACCAAGCAAAGAATACAGCAACTACAATTCATTGTCTTGCATGAGCTTGTCTTATTAAAAGTCACAACTGCAATAACTCAGTCACAACATGGCGAAGTGCTAGGAGCTTGCTCCACCTTTGCCGCGGATCGGCCCGGTATTGCAGTACCAGTCACAATGTTATTCACCTCTCTTTGTTACTATCTGAGGATTTATATACATTAGACCCACAAGTAAGACACCTCACACCACAAACAATAATAAGAACCTATTTGTGCCTGCAGGATTGTGATTTTTAACTCTTCGATCCAACCTTTCTAATTGACCACTTATGTAATGACCCCGCCAACCAATATTCTTTATCCAATCTACTAGGTTAACTGCTGACTATCCCCAGGATGCAACCCACAACAACCATATGTCTCCCAGGTACCTATTTATTGCTAGAGCAAAATAGGCATCAAGCGAAAAGTAACATTACCCAAACACCTCCGTCCTGCCGCAGGGAACGGAGCCGCGATCCATATCTTATTTATAGGACCTATTTTCAAAATAATTTTTTTGTCAATACAGTAATAGGTAATAAAGTAAGAAATAGTAGTCCATACCCAGTCTTTGGTATTTTCATCTGCTATAGAATCCATCTTAGATACTTCTTCATCTTCATCTAGAGTGAATGAGGCCACCTTAAAAGCGGAGAGCAGTTCTTCCCCAACCATAGATGGTGCATCTTCCCTAGTTTCAGCTCTTTTCAGGATTTCATCTATATCACACTGTTGGGAAAAATCTCATCACAATGAATAGATAATACAACAAATAATTATTTGTACATAGTCACAACAATATGTTGATAAATATATATGCATTGTACATTTTTAATACTTAATAAATCAACAAAAAAGGTAAATACATACCACAGGTTCCTCTTCATTATCTTCATCATCTTTAAAGAGCTCCTCAGCACCAAACTTAAGGATTGCATTTAACTCCTCACGATTAAATGGGGTTGAATTTGAACCTGCAAAAATTACAGATACATTGTTAAGGAACTTGTTATTTTGCTTTGCATAATTAAACTGATTATTAGATTAAAATTTCTGTATTATTAAATACATAATACAGGAAGCATACTAATCTGACTAAAGCTGCTCATGGATGTAAACTTTTTTTTTTTTTATTATACAATACACTCAAAAGATGTAGGAATGGACAGTAGAGTGCAGTTGTGTTCAATTAAAATTTTGCATTTGGCTACCATGAGAGTCCAAGCAGGAACACTAGATAGATGAATCAGTTCATAGAAAAATATAGTGACACTTCTTGTGGTCACTTCTCCTCATAACTAGACATGGTCTGTTCATAGACAGGTAGTGGTGAAAGCTATCCCCAGTGAGGCATACATCAGGATACAAACAGGGGTGGTACATACAAGTTCTAACCTTCAAAATATTGTAATATTTTAATTCTTTTGAAAATCGAGACTAAATGAGGCTAGCACCTCAAATAAGGTAACCTCTCCCAAGTGAACAAGATTTTAGAGATATTGATAAAACAATCTGTCCTCACATGTATATATATATCTGTATTTGTACACTCAGGCTACAAGTGAATGTATTGAATGCTGAAAATAAAAGCACTAGAGAAATATGTTTTCAGGACTAAAGCATCGGCCTCCTTAGGTTAGGAAGGTTGGTTTAAGTTCATTTCCTTGTGACTAGTAAAAGCATACAATTTGAAAGTGTGTCACATTGTGAGAATGGAATGAGATAAAGTAATATCATTATAGTACATAACAAATAAAACTAATTGTGTACACTTAAATGCCAACCTTAATATTTCTCAGTGAGAATTAGAATTCATTAGCAATGCCCCATCCCTACATTACTATAAGCTACAGGTCTAATTAATCTATTATTTGTTATCACATAAACAATAATTTGAAACATACCCCTAAACTTCTTATTTAGCAGGCTGAGGAATATACTTACTTGTCAACTTTTTGTTAAAGACAGTACGGCCGGAGGTGTCCATGGACTGAATGACGAGATGATCCAAAACCATCTTCTGCTTGGCTCGTTCTATGATGTTCTCTTCAATACTGTTCTTTGTGACTAGACGGTATATATTCACCTGAAATTAACAGCCGAATTATTTTAATTTAGACTAGATGTTGAATGAATCACCTGCAGATAACTGATGGTGTCACTGTCAATTACCACAGCACATGTCAATGCCAGTTTTATGAAATGCACTCTGACAAATAACAAGGATGACATTCTGGCACTAGCACCACATAGAACATTTCAAACATTTCTAGGATTATTATAGGTATCATTCATAAAACTCAAAAATGAATTCCAGATCCTCCCTTTGCATCACTGGTAACCAAGAGGACTCTAAAATATGCTCTGGCTAGACAACTGCATAGACTACCACCAGAGCAACATAACATCCCCCCAAGAATAGTGTTGCATCGGATAGCTTAAGGTGAAGATGCAGGACTAGGGAATTTTTTCCCAGAAATTACATATAAAGTCAAGAAGCTAAGTGTCTAAATTCACATCGGAGCTAAATTTCAGGATAAATAACAGTTAGCTCAACCACTTTACCTAAGTCTCAGTGAATACATGCTATAGATATCCAAAACCCTCTACAATTAGCACTATGTAAATTGTAGGAAAGTTAATATGCTATATAAAGAAATGAATCTTACTTGATTTTTTTGGCCAATGCGATGAGCTCTGGCTTGAGCTTGAAGGTCATTCTGTGGGTTCCAGTCCGAGTCGAAGATAATTACAGTGTCAGCGGTAGCAAGATTGATGCCCAGACCACCAGCTCGAGTAGACAGCAAGAAGCAGAAGTCCTGTAAAGTTTAAAAAACTTCATTGAAGTCTGGTTCCTTCTTAAGACAGTGGTTTCCAAACTTTTCACCGCCATAGCACACTTTGATATACTGCACTTACCTAATTGTGACCTGGTGCCCTATTACATCACCAAACAAACTTGCATTAAAATAATATGAGTCTGCTTAAATCTCATAACACAAATTTTGAGTGTCATTATTGGCAAGGGTTAAAGAGAAGAGAGAGAGAGAAGGTAAACGTCTATGTGTGAGTGGTAGCGGATGGGCTTAAAGTCAAAATCAGACTTGGAAGTATATTTGATTCCCACGAGTATCAAGTTACATCTCCAGAAAAATGGTTCCTGGAGTAAATTCTTCAAACAAGTGCAAAATACTCTACTGAAGCTTGGAAGTGATGATAGGGGACAAGAAGAATGGTATATAATAAGAGGAAGGTAAGTTTAAGAGTCAAAATCTATAAGGTCATAATTTAGAGGAGCTTTACTAAAGCAAATTTTGTTTATATTAAAAAAGGGTATATTATTTGTCTGATAAAGATCCAGCTAAAAATAAACTGAAGTTACCAAACTCACATTCGAGCCTTCGGCATTGAAGTGGTCAAGAGCTTGCCTTCGTACTTCACCCTTAATAGAGCCATCCAACCTTTGGAAAGGAAAGCGGCGGTACTGTAGGTACTGGGCCAATATATCCAGCATGCGCACCATCTGGGAGAAAATAAGAACTCGGTGGCCGGTCTCTCGAAGTCGTACCAGAAGTTTGTCTAGCAGCATCAATTTGCCACTACCTCTTAATAATTGCTGAAAAGAGTGATGAAATTACAAATAAAATGAGACTCATGTATAACTGTGCTCTTTAAAGAACAGAGCAGTACAGAAACTTGAATAGGTATTATTATTAACATCTTCAGAAAAATATGTATGTTATTTTAAAGAGATTTGCAGTGCATTCACTCACTTTCTAGCTCTTTATATCACAATTTTGAATTTATGGCTATAAGGGCAATATAAATTTTGGAAATAAGTAGTGGAACTGTATATCTGACACTTCATTCACTTATAAAAAATCATCAAAAAGGCATTTTAACCACCTTCAAATATTGAGTCCTTTAGAAGATGCACTTGAAATAACCTAATTAATTGGATAAACAAGTTAATGAACTACTAATGTGAGTAGAAGTAGTAGTTCCCTTTCCTTTATCCAATAACAATGATTTACAGACTACCATAGAAGAGCTATAGAAGGGGCATTTTATCACTCTGATAATTTCAACCTTAAAAAATCACAAACTTTCCACCTTATTATAACTTAAGTGGACTAGTTCATTATAATTTGTATTTTTGGGGTCTGGGTTTATGATATAATCCTCATCTTATATTTCCACTAACATTCTACTTTAAAAAAAGAGTTAAATTATTCATAAATAATTCTATTTCCCCTTTATCATTTAACTAATGTCAATTGAAATTCAAAACAAACACAAGCAAAATATTAAAACAATATTTTAAATTAACATAACCTAGGCCTATTCTAACACAATCTAGACCTAATCCAGTACATGTACTATATTAAACCTGGGTTATAGTTACAGCCTATTAAGTTAGGGGGTCTTGCCTTTGTTTTTACCAATTCAGTAACTTATTTGTACAATAGTTAATACTTTGTCACTTCTGGCAATGTACTGTCTTAGAAGATAGGTTGCAATATATATACAAATTTCAACAATACATTAATACAAAATAATTCAAAACTCACCTGTAATATGTCTGAACTGTTGAATTCCTCTGTGGTTTTAGTCAAAAAACAGTGATTACAGCACTTCTTCAGTTCCATCACAATATTAACAAAACTTGACGTCGGTCCCCTATTGCCTGTCACAAACAAATGAGAATTCCAATTATTGTCGATACTATTTGAAAATGTTCTCAACTATAAAGCAAAATATACACACACAAAGTGCAAGCAACCAGAGCATAAATAAAAACTAAGTTGACACATCACATAACAATATTTAACAATTTACTGTGAGAATTAAAATGACACAATCTGCATTCGGCATACTGTTATTAAGTAGCATGCTACATTTATTTATATGATGTATACAAATCTCAACTATGTTTCAGATACCCCAAATATTTGTTTAAATAAATAACAAACAAATGTAACCCATGAGGCACGCTAAAATATTCACAAATTCTTATAAATGCAACACCTGAATACTGTACCTTTATTATACTTTATTACCTTACACACATTTTGTTAAAATTCTAACAGGACACAAGAATTTGTTCCTGGTGTCTGTAGACCTGTGCAAGTCCAGAGGCCTGGTAGCCCTAAGGGTGTCTGTATGGTACCACAGTCTAAGCTACTGAGAAGCAGGCCCAGAACATTTCCCAAACTTTTCACCTGTCATATACTGAAAAGTCATTCATCAAGCAATATATATACTTGTAAAAGAGAAAAACTGAATAAATTACTTTACCTTTTTTCAACATTTCATAATTTTTGGTTAGAATCCATTTATAATATTGTTTCTGTTGCTGCATCATATCCACACGTAAAATCTGCTCAACCTTGGATGGCAGGGATTTTTCAACGTCTTTCTTAACTCTGCGCAGTAAGAAAGGCTCAAGCTGACGATGGAGACGGTGAAAACCTTTCTTCATATTATCCCCATCGTGTTGTGATTCAAAGTATTCCCAATCGTCAAACTTTTCAGGCATGATGAAATGGAGGAGAGCCCATAGTTCCTTGAGTGAGTTCTGAAGAGGGGTACCCGTAATAAGCAGACGATGATTGGTGCGGAATTCCTTCAAGGCTTGATATAGCTGCGACTCTTCATTTTTTAATCTGCATGGATCATAAATAATAATTAACCTATCTACAATTTTATGGAAATATTAGACACTATATATTAAACCTAAATCTTAATACCTAAATATTTTGTTTAACAAATGGTATTAATTGGAAATACCAGGTTATAGATCAGTTGTCCAGAGCCAACTTCCCCAGTTCGAAGAAAAAAAGTTGAATGTAATGAAACAATCTTAAATACTACTAAAACCAATCCTTAGGAAATTGCATCAGGCCTCCGAGACCCACCCCTCACCTACTGGAAGTAAGGATCAGAATCTAGCTCACTCTACGAGGCGATGAGACTATCAGGATCAGAAATGTACCTAAAACAAAAAAAAAAAAAAAAAAAAAAAATAAAAAAAAGCACAAAAAACAGAATGGTTAGGCACAACAAAACTGCTTCAATGAAAATAGTAAATCCGACATAAACAAGGCAACCAATTGTTGCTGCAGGAAAATTGCCTGAACTGCAATGTGCCTTGGGTAAGAAAATTCTATCCATTCAAATTAACAAACCCTTCAAGCCAGGGTAACCATGGGCAATAGGGAAACCATGGATTCTTATCTAGCAATTCCAAATTCCCTTGACAAGAGAGACAGAACATAGGCAATGTAAATGCAAACTCTGGAATCTTGAACCCTTCAGGAACATAGCTCAGAAGTAACGGAAAGTAGAAGATGAAGGCTCTGTCACTTCAGTTAAGACCAAAGGTAGAGCTAACCCAAGGGCATCCAACTCACTCCAATATCCATTGGAGCCTGCAGACACATGACCCTAAACCATTTAGGAGCCTGTACTAACAGAGGCTAGGGAACTGAACAAACCAATGTCAGGCAAACCGGCCACTTGACAACCAAAGTAGAGGAGGTCGGTGTATATTTGGCACAGACGTTAAAACTCAGACTCTCAATATCCTCCTCATAAAACAATGAATGATTTGCAGACCCACTGCCTGCTCAGCCAAGGGCCATGTAATCCAGTACCATTGAATGCAATCAAGAAATACAACACCAGTAGCCTAATAAACTGCCATTTGGGAAGACAGTTTGGTTAAAATAGAGGTAAAATGCTTACGAAAGGCACACACACACGATGCTGAAAATTCCTCTAAAACCAACAGGCAACGACAGAGGTAGTAAAAAGTAACCCCTTGCTATCCAAAAACTGCAGAGAATTGCCAGACACAGATGTGAGTAAGGACACCATAACAGCGTGCTTAAACACACAGACCTGATAAAACCATCAGTTTCATTTCTTTCAATTGGGCCCCAGGAGACTCATCTCACGGACCTTTCATAATTGTTTCAAAGATCATTTAAAAAATGTTTGGAATACTTGAGGATAATTAAATGCTTAGGAGAAAATTCAGCAGGTGGTTGTCCCTTACAAACTAAGGTGTTCTCTGAGGAAACAATGTGTTAAGATATTGACTAACATACAGACAGAAAAACTATTTTCCCACAAGCATTACTTTATGAGGACAATGCTAATGCGATCTATATTACTGACCGAAAGTAAGAAAAGAATAACATTTAAATTGCAAATAATTAAGCTACACTTACCTATGCGCTTCATCTACTACTAGACATGCCCAATGGCACGAGTCTCGCAGGTATTCTTTGTCACGTAAAAGAATCTCGTAAGTTGTAAGGACGGCATTAAACTTGATTCGTTTACTTGAATGAGTCCATTCAAATTCTGTAACCTACAAAATATATAGTAATAAAGTTATTGAACATATCACCAATTTCCTGGTTAATTGAAAATAACTTCAGAAATGTACTGCAGACTTTATAATTTTTTATAACTCATAGCTATATATATATTTAATCTAAATGTTTAATCTAAATTCAATGTGTTCCTATCTGCTTTATGTACATATGACATTATACCAAAAACATATAAGAATTAAAATAATATATTGTTTCAAGTCTGCAAACATCCTGGCATCCCATACTTACAATTCTTCTAGAATCTCTGTCACCAATATAAACAATGACATTCATGTCTGGTGCCCATGTTGCAAATTCTTTTTGCCAAGCATTCAGCGTAGACAATGGCAGGATAAGGATGAAAGGACCATACATGTGGTGTGTATGGAACAGGTAACTTAAAAATGCAATTGTCTGGATTGTCTTCCCTGAAAATAAATTGCATTAAAAGTTATAGAAGCTAGATATATGCTGCATCAAACATTCATTAAATTAATTTCTTATGTTAGCTTTTTTTAAATACCTAGAGAATTTAACCAATATATCAAAAGGAAAAAGTTTACTCCTATAAAATTTTAATTTTAGCATACTGATTCATCAGCAACTAACAAGTATAAGTTTTGAGAGTATTAAAATGACCCTTTCTGAGTGGGTCCTTGATTGTATCCACTAGACAGCAACTTGGGTTTGCCCAGGACACTGCTCACATGCCAGCCCCTCAAGTGTCTTTGAGCTCCAATGGTAATTTTTTTATGAATTTCTTACATGGTCCAGGGACAGGGAGCTCTGGAGAGCAGAGATCAACCTCTCAATCGAGGTATACAAGAGCATTCATTTAAAAAGTTTCCTGTTTCAGTGGGACACAAAATTACTGATGACCTCGTGTGTGAGCAGCATCCTGAGTGTGCTCAGAATCTGATAAGGGGTACCAACCTTGGGAAGTGCTCAGGAAATAATATTTTATGAATAAAATACAGCAAACTCAATTACAGTACTGTATCTGTATTCTCATTTCAGTTAATTATTTGGGAACTGTATTTCACAATATGAATATTATGCTTTTTGGTGTGCATATTAGGCTTTTGAGTGAATATGATAGTCTTATGCATGTATACAAGATTTAATAGTAAATATATAATGCTTTACAGTTTGTAAAATAAGTTTTATATTGTGTGTACTATGCTTGTACAATAGTAGGGGTGTGTGGGTTTAGTTCCAGGCATGCAAGATAATCACGAGTTTACTGTTATCAAAACGGAAATGACAAAATCTTACCAAGACCCATTTCGTCTGCCAGAATAGCAGAATTATGTTTACACCATGCATGAATCAGCCAATTAACACCTTCCATCTGGTAGTCTCTCAACTCTAGGTCCTTTAAATGAAACAAATATGAAAAGCATAAGTTACATGAATTAGAAAAAAAAATTAATCAGATATTCCTTACTTGAACTTCAATTATTAATATAATCATAACCTAAATTTTTAATTTATTTGTCCAGACAATCCTTGTTAAACTCAAGACTAACAGTATTCCTAAATTCCGGCTACCCACACATGACTGAATTTTGAAAATTCACTATGAAAATACAATTTTTTCTGGAAGGATTAATGAAATATAATATATAATTTACAAAAACATAAATGGGGAATTTTGGCCTCGCCCCAAAAACTAATTTAGTGTGTTAAGTGTGTTAAAAGTGTGAGTTGGCCTATGGTCCTTACTGATGGGAGCTAAGATGACGGGATCTTCCTTTCTTAGTGCTCAGTGGTGGTCAATCAGCTCACACACCATGACTTTAATCTTATGTTCTAATGTACTACTTATTTTTCATCTATGGGTTACCAAGGACAGCCTACACTACTATAAAGCAGGATTTTTTAACATTTATATTAATATTTATATACTGTCAAAATCATTATTTATATATTTGTCTAAATATGCAGAAACATATATGATTGCATTAGCAATCCAAGAATTTCAAAAATTTTGGTGATAGTTCCGAAAAAGGGTAATTATTCTGAAACTTGAAGTATTTATAAATCCAGAGTGAGCCTGTGACCATATGACTTGGATTCTGGAGAGTGCAAAAGAGTGCAAAGTGCAAAAAAAAAAAAAAAAAAAAGAGTACATAAGAGTAACATTTTTACAAACCTCATTTTCACCACCTAAGTAGTCTGGCTGCACCTTCATTGGAGCAAACTTGGGTCTATGTTTCAATGCTGAACACTGCTTCGGAGTGCAAGTGGATTTTTCCCGTTCTTTAAATTGTTTTAACTGAAAATAGTTATATTTGATGTAATATATATATCAAAGAGTTTAAGCATCTACTAATACATACACAATTAACATCTAACTACTAGTTTCTATTATAGTAAAAATAATACAAAGGCAAATTAAAAAATATTTCAAATCAGACAGTACTTACCCTCTACACAAAATAAGAAATAAGAAAATACAACAAAACATATAGATTAATATAATCAAACTGGAAGAGAAAATAACTAAAAGAATTGTGTGAAAAATATTTAATGAAATAACCCTTTTTGTGCTGTCCCCCAGTAACTCCCTAGAGCTTAAGGTACTATGACTAGAGTGGCAGGATAACCCTCAACAGGATCTATCTTGAGGTTATCTTGAGATGATTTCGGGGCTTTAGTGTCCCCGCGGCCTGGTCCTCGACCAGGCCTCCACCCCCCAGGAAGCAGCCCGTGACAGCTGACTATCACCCAGGTACCTATTGTACTGCTAGGTAACAGGGGCATAGGGTGAAAGAAACTCTGCCCATTGTTTCTCGCCGGCACCTGGGATCGAACCCAGGACCACAGGATCACAAGTCCAGCGTGCTGTCCGCTCGGTCGACCGGCTCCCTTTAGGATAACTATAGGATAACTATAGATCTGAAATTGCTAAAATATAATGAGACAAGCCAATGCGATTCAGTGGTTTTACCTTCCAAAACTGAAGATAGATCACAGAACTTACTTCAATGAAGATATACATGTAGAAAATAACATTAAAAATTAGTAAAATTAGGAATTATACTTACTTGTTCACTAAATCTTGTATTACAAAGATCTTCCAATTCCCACGTAGCTTCAGCATATGGAAGATTCTCCCACTTCACATAGTAGTAGGTGTTGCCATTCTCCTGAGCCTCGGCAAATATTCTTTCTGCTCTGTGGACATCATGTAAAGGATGAGAAGAAAAAAATCCCATTGCTAAAATAATATGTATTTAGCCTTTTCTTTTACTTAACAAAGATAATTTACATCTATATGCTGATACATATTCTAGCATGAAATACTTAAAACATTTCCATGACATCTCATGCTGTCATATAATATCTAATTATTTTCATGTAAATTGAATGTAAACATATTATACACATACCCACACACATATACATATATCAGTGAGTCAAGTATAAGGATTCCAGATTATAAAAATTAAAAGCATTATGATATTTTAGCATATGCCCAAAGTTTCTAGACGCAGCCTTTTAAAGGTGCTCACCTAACTATATGTACCAGGAGCAAGATACTGCTCTAAAGAACCACCTCTCAGTATTGTACCTGATGCTTATAGACATTCCAACACTCCAATGCTAAGTTCTAATTGCTCTTGAAATTGTAAATTGCCCCATACAAGGCAGCTCTTATTTACTGTATATATATCCACTCAAACTGAACCTGTTAGAATGAATTGCCTCTCAACCTTTGCATACTCACAACCGAGAACCCCAGGTGGGACAGAAATGGTTGGGCACATTTCTTATCACCTAATGCCTCTGTTCACCTAGCAGTAAATAGGTACCCAGGCATCAGTCAGCTTATATCTAAATGGCAGCTAGAATTTAATCTGAACAAATGTAAAGTAATGAAGATGAGAAAGAATGATGAGATTTGCTAGAAATTTATTCTATATAGGAGGCCTGACAGTTAAGTGGACAGTGCTCAGAATTTGTAGTCCTGAGGTTCCGGGTTCGATCCTCAGTGGAAGTGGAAACAATTGGACAGAGTTTCTTTCATCCCGATGCTCCTGTTCACCTAGCAGTAAATAGGTACCTGGGAGTTAGACAGCTGGTACAGGCGACTTACTGGGTGTGTGTGACAAAAAACGAGGCCTGGTCGAGGACCGGGCCGCGGGGACGCTAAATCCCGAAATCCTCTCAAGATAGGGTAATTATGTGTAAGAAACAATAAGAGAAAAAGACCTTGGAGTGGATATAATCCAAACAATAACACCAGAGATTCATGTAAACAGGATATCAGCGGCTTATGGCAACATGAGAACAACATCCACAAATTGAAACAGGGTAGCTTTAAAATCCAAATACACTGCCTATGTGACACCATTACTGGAGTATGCAGCACCAACATAGAATCCACACCTCATGAAGCACAAAAGGAAACTTGGAAAACATACAGGGATTTGCAATTAAACAAGAATGATAATTTAGATGACTCAATTAGAATATGGCCAGGCTAAGAGATCTCAATCTCACAATTTTACATAGAGAGGAAATAGAGGATATGTGATAAATACATACAACATACTGATGGGAAGTAGACAAGGTCAGCCAATTTCAATTGAAAGGAAGGGACATTGGTTAAGCTGGATATGCAACTGATTCGTAGAGATGTAAAGAAGTTCTTGTTCCCAGTCAGCAAGTGGAGTGCATTGAAAGATGTTGAAGCCATTTCCATCCACAAATTCAAGAAAGAACTTTATAATCTCACTCTGATGTGGTTTTTGACAAGCACTAAAATAATGGTACTGCTACCCTGATCACTTGATATCACATTTTCTTTTGTATTCCATAGTTGGCAGTCAAGTGCACCTATCCTTGAGGTACATTTCATGATAATGGCCTCATGCACCAGAAATTTGTTCCAAATGATCCAACAGCCAATCACAATTGATTTAACATTGTCTTTCTGAAATATTACAAACTATTTCGTACAAATCATGTTGAACATTTGATTTTGATGATTACGTTCCTGATGCATCACTCATTATAAAATACAATACTAACATGGCAAGGCTTTCCCACCTATTACACAGTAATAGAAATAAATTATCCTGCACCCGTGAAGGGCCATATCATAATACAACATGCATGCATGCATTCAGATACTGCATTTCATTTTACAATTCTCAATTTTCATAAAATAACACCATTATATGAATTTCAAATTTACTAACCATACCATAATTAAAATTGTATAATTGCCCGAAACTTGGTACTTAATTCATAAAACGTTTTCACTACTTGATTTACCCATTTAGCAAATGTAAGATGACCAACCTGATATGTGACTGATATAATTCCTTCTCTAATTCAGACTGGATCTCCATATATTCTACTTCTTCTGGCGATGCTTGTTTTCGCCACAAATCCATCTCCTCCTCTTTCCGCAGATAGTTCTCCAACTTTTTCATACCTTTGATCTGAAATGCATTGTACTGGTCCAGAAAGGAAAGCTTCATTAATGAATATCACACACTTGATCAGAGCACAATGGTGGGTGATTTTCAACTGTGAAAATTTCAGCAAAACTGCAAGCTCAATAACATCTACTGATGGGATAATTAGCCAAAAATTCACTTATCAGAAGTTATGCAGTAATATTGTGTGCAACAAATACTGCAGACGTAACGTCTATAGCAACATAATGCAGAATATAAATGGTGCAAGATACAAAGTTGTCCCAAATTACAAACGTTGCACTATACTGTAATTCTCACTAGCACTGGATTAACTATATTTGTCCAATTTTTTATGTACACCACAAAGTCAAATATCCCCCTAGCATTAAGAGCTTTTACACTGCATGTCCAATGATTTTAGCCTGTGTATTATCATTATCACTTAAAGTGCGGTTACAGTATCGCCATACATTGATACACGGGGTAATACTGTTATCAAACTATTATTTGTTTGGTTTTACATGAATGATGCTAATATGGATGTCTATATCAATGTAATTGAGTTTACCTTGACACATTAGAAAATCTTGCTCTCATTTCATTATTGTTTACTAAGCAAATGCAGTTACCGCTGCAAATGTTATTATCCCAATGCAATAATCGTTTTTATAATTACATCATATGTAAACTGATTATGTTCGTATGGGTTTCACAACTCTATTTTATATATATTATTTGGGATATATATATAGACACACACACACAAATAAGAGTTCTTACATTCATGTACAGCCACTAGCATGCGTAGCATTTCGGGCAAGGACTTGCCCAAAATATGTTTTCCTAGAATATGACCCCCCAAATCGTTTAACAACCAAGTACCCATTTTACTGCTGGGTAAACAGTGGCTTCAGTTATGGACTGGCACCCAGTAAATTCCTCCTCAGCCAGGATACAAACCCAGAACAGAACTATATCTTTCACCGAGATACTTGACTTTATGGTGCATTCAGAGATAATGGTTATCTGATTCTATCGTACTTACTTGGAAGTCAATAATCAGATGCCATTATTTGGTAAGCAAAAGTGGTTGCAATGTAGTTAACAAAAGAAATAGGACAACTCTGAATTGCAATAAATCTGAAGATAAAAGAAATAAGGCATAATACTAATTACTGAATGCAAAGCTAAATAAGGAATAAAGCTGTCACCTTGATTCATGCAGTATTTAGCAACTTAAGAGGAACCCTAAAAGCCTTAAGCATTCCAGAAAAGCTAGGTATGAGAGCCAGGGACAAACATAAAATGAAATGTGCGACTGATTAGGGAAATTATGAGAACAGCATCCCAAACAAAAGCAGCGCTATTGAAAAGGGAAAAATAACAATGCAAAATCCTATTTTATCTAGTTATGTCAGTATTTTGCTATATAACCTATAGAATTACAGTATAAGAAGCTCAGACTTGCAAATTAGCCTTTCAGGGCTTATAAAATATCAGGCACTGTATCTTTGGCATCTGTAAACAATAGTAGCTAAAGTCTTGAGGCCTGTTGCATGTGTTTCATGGAGGTCCATATCATAAGTTCCACAATAGCACTTAAAAGATGTATGTGGTCATTTATCTAAATAGAGAATGTACATTTCTGTATGTGCATTTTGTTTTAACACACACACACACAAAAAAAATCAATATGAAAAATGCATTTTCCCACATACAAATCTGCAAATTAGATCTGAATTGAATTCCTGTTTTGGTGCATGATGCCCAGATACTGTGATATGACATGTCCCCCCGTAAACAATTTTATGCATTTTTGGAATACATTCTCACATCACGGCGGCTCTTTAAGCATTCTACATTTCTCAATATACTGTACTGTAATTATGGGCAGAAATGGGTTGAAGTATTCAGTAATAATATTCATGTTGTTGTTGTTTAAATGAATGGACAAATTTTAACCTTGGGAGGTCTCTGAAATTCATCTCTGAGCAAAACTATACAATATATATCACAAGTATTGAAAGAAACACTTGGAGAGGATGAACTTATTCATTTGTCAATAATATCCAAGTATTTCTCATTTCAATATGTCAGTCTAATAAAGACCGACATATTTCAGAAACAAGGGAATGATGCTAAGGATGAGGAAAATGAGCTGCCCAATAAAACCTTTTTGACATTTCCAAGCTTATGAAAAACAATGAAGGCAACAGTTGATAAACATTGTTTCATTGTTGGATTCAGTAGGAAAGATGAGAACTGTCAGTACTTTGCACTACTGGTAAATATTTAATTGCATGCATAAAAAATGATGGTTGTTAATTTTGACTTTTCAATGTACAGTACAGTACTAATATACTGCAATCATTTTCATATTCCTTGTAATGTTACTCTGAACTGTCTGAATGTCTTAAAAGTTGGTCATTAGAAGTGCTAGAAATGATAAAAATCATGTGGACCCTCCCATGGTATTATAAAAACTAATTTACTTAGAAACCGAAATTAAAATGAGCATTCATGGAATGCATGATACCACATCTCTAGTTTAAGATAAAAGAGTAGCAATATATAAATATAACATGCCACTGAAGCAAAAGGGAAAAAGCTTGAGGTGTAATGCAAGTCCTCTGACAAACTTTGCAAAAGAACCACTGACACTAATAACACTGATGTAAAATTGACTAGAGCACTATGTTGCCTGTTGCACAACAACTGATAAGGGAAAAAAAAAACAGGCTATTGCCTCTCAAAGAGTAGTTGTTACCAGCAGACAGTTTTCTTTAAATGAGCAAAGACAAAATTATCTTTTTTTTTATTTTTTGTCAAAATATATATAAACATATATCGCCCTTGTGATGATCAAGTGTGTGTTTTTACCACAACAACAGGTACTGGGAATCAGAAGAGGTATCACCTTCTGTCTCAGCCTTCCAGATGAATGGTAGAGGATGCTTTGGTGCAGATGGAGAGGACTGGGGGTCCCTGGCTTAGCACTCAAGAGAAACAAACATGGTCAGGGAAAATAATAGAAAGAAATGGAATAAATGCAGCTGAGACATGCCTCTACTGATTACCAAAGACAGTGAGTTGTCATCTACTTAAAAATTGACTAAATTAGAAAAGAAAACAATTTAACATTAGGTCTAAACTTAAACTTTAAGATTATAGCAAACTATTTAGCACAATGGCTTTCAATAAACTGAAAATAATCAGTTTTGGAGTTAAAAGTTACCAGTTTGATCAAAAAACATCAATATTACAGCAAATCAATGAGCAAATACCATAAATATTTAAAATATAATAAAAATATCCTGCATGGAATAATTCTCTACTAATTTTATCTTACAGACAAATATTTAACAATTATATCATTAGTGTGAGTGAGTGTGCGTGTGTGTGTGTACTGTGTGTGTGTACTGTGTATGTGTACTGTGTATATGTACTGTATGTATGTACTGTATGTATGTACTGTATGTATGTATATATGTATGAATGTATGTACGTACGTACATACATACGTATGCATGTGAATGTGTACAACATATATATAATATATGCCCAATAATACTAAAGTAGGAGCTCATCACAGACAGTTCTCTCTTACCTTCTGGGTCTTCAGCGACTCTTCTGATTCCCAGGTGTTGTGAAGATGAGCCCACCCTTTCCATTTCACTAAATACTGATTTTCAACTTCTTCAGGATTATTGGGGTTAAAATCTGAATTGGGATCACCATTTTTCTCAACTTCATAGATGTAGGTCGGCATCCCCACAGCTAAAAACAATAAACTTGACCATTATTTCCAAAGGAATATAGTAGTCATAAAATACTGTAACAAAATTAATGTTACTTCTCATAAATTAAATGATGATGTTGATATCCAACCCAACTACTTATTATACATTCCTTTTTATCACTAAGATCTTCCAGGTCCATCAAAATCCTTGCAATTTTAAATAGCATTAATGGTTCCTAACATGGTCACCCTACATGTTCAGTCACTTTATGGTGATGGCTCAGATATGGTCCGCCTATTTTTATAAGGTTTAGGAATGAAATTGAAGAACTTGTGATTTTTTCAAATACAGTATAGTAAACGATCGACAGAGGTCTCGAGTCGAATGACGTCTCCCCTAGAATCAATGAGACTTTTTGAATAAAATGAAGCACCTTAAATCATCTCCAGATGATTGGAGTACATGAGCCAATCACTTGAGTAATGGGAGCAGTGTAAGGTTAAATATCAAAATATCAGGCCCTTTCATTGAAATTCCTGAGTGGTTCACATCAGCATCTTGAGTTGGTTTTTCATCACCATGTGCTTCTTTCTCCTCTTTGAGGTTCAAATATTGATCCTAGCATCCAGAAAGCTGAGGAAAATCATAGTAGCCTGATGTTTTGGGGTTCTCTCTGGTGTAAGTGTCACCAGAAGCCTCAGTAGCTCTAGGGAGCTACTGAGGGGGTCAGCACAGAAAAGCTATTTTGTAAACAAGTACCAGAATTAGTTTATGAGTTAATCCAGCCAAAGAATCTAATCACTAGACATGTGTACCCATTATGTATTTACAAACTTGTGTAAATATGAATTTACTCTCAATTTCAAAGTGAAACAAACTAGAAATAGACAGTGCCTTTTGCATGGACACAAACTTAAAACCATTAGACTAAGAGCAGGATATGTTATACTATTCTTTCATCAAAAATACTATTCTTTTGTTTGCAGTATTCTACATTATACATGTATTTAAAGATTATATTTCAGATGGTCTTAAAATGTGGTTAAAATAAGACATGTTTTACACTTCTACTCTCATCTTGGGGCAACATGCTGTATCATAAACCCAAAACTACACAGCTAGATATTGAAATTAAATAGGAAAAAATTGACTGAAAGAAACAGATCAGCTAATCGGTATGTCTAGGAAAGAAGAAAAGTGTATCTCAGGAGCCCTCTAAGATTTGTTCTTAAAACTCGTGTTCAGGGTGAATCGGGACAAATACCGGGGAACAGGAATTTGTATCCATTTGAAGTATTTTAGACCGGATTACCTCTTGGCTGCAGTATGCAATAATAATCAATAGAAAAATTGAGTTAAGGGACGTACATTCAAGTCCCTTGAAAAAATTTAAATGAACAAAATAATTGGTCTGCACTACGACCCTTGGAAGAGACAAGGCTGAAAAATAGTGTCACAGCCAATGAGTTAATAATGTTTGTGAATGGCATGCTCATGCAAGGGTGGATACATACACTCATGCAAGTTCATCAAGGAGTTATGATATAGTGAATACTGAAGTTTTCATTATATAGCTAGACGAAGGACTTAGGGAAACCCAGAAAGCTAGAAAAAAAGAACTACAGGACAGATATGAAAAGTTATTTCTATATAGCTCAGTTGAGGACAGGCAGAATGCCCTTCAGCAAAAAAAATGGCACTATTTAAACAAAAATACAAAACTTCAAAAAAGCAAATACAATAAGTGATCAAAGGATGCCGCAACACCACAAATTTGAGTTTTGTCCATTAAACCAAAGTTAATCAAAGTTAAGAAGCTGACCAAACAGAAATTGGACAGACCAGACACTAAATGACTCAAGCTGAGAGAAACCAAAGCCAAAGCAAATAATGCCGAGGGAATCTTGGCACAAGTGTCCAAGATACAGTAAGACACTTGAAATCCAATGCAGACAGGGGTCTCAACAGCCAGTTACCACAAAGAAATCATACAAAACGGCCAGAGCCTGGTTGGGTTGATCTCCAATCTTTCCTCCCCTCATAGCCTCATAGAGTAAGCCAGATTCTGATCTTGGTTTATGGCACACAAGGGTGGGTCTCAAAAGCCTGGTGCATTTCCGAAAGGCTTGGCTGGCCCAGCACTTAGTTCAGCAATCTACCGGGACCTTCTCTTAGAAACCAATACTGTTCCTTTAAAAAAAACTGAAGTATAAGATGGAATAATCTGGGCTAACTGGGAAGGTAGTGAGCGGGGCAGATTTGATAAACAGGGTCCCCAAAGAACCAATTCAAGGGCTGTTACTTTTCTCAGTTTATGTGAATGACCTACCAGAAGGAGTGAATGAATACATGTCTATGTTTGCAGAAAAATACAAAAAAAACAAATGAGGATTGTAAAAACTATCAAGAACTGTATTTGATGATGTTCTTGCTTAACAATCTTCAGAAGTTAAGGATCCTTAAACACTCTTCAGAAGTGCACAGACCAATACCCGTTTGAGCTCAATCCCAAGGAAGGTAAGGTAATAAAGATGGGAAAGGGAGATAGGAGACCAGAAGAAAATCTACACCATAGGGAAAGGCAACAACAGTTATCAGAAAAATACAATTTAAGTAATGTGATTGGATATAATTCCTGCCCTTACACTAGCAGCACACATAAAGAGGAAAGCATCAGCAGTATATGAAAAGTTGGTAAACATAAGATATAAAAAAAACAAATAAGTATTCCTTCAAGACATTATACACAGCCTTTAAAGTAGCAAAATTAGTAGAATACACATTACCAGCAAGGAATCTGCATTATAACTAATATCCTCACAGAAGAAAGTCAAAGATGAGGTTGAGATACAGAGATACAGAATAATCACGTAAATAAATAAAATACCAGAGAAACAAATACTGTGCATTTGAATGAGAAGCTTCCTGAAGGAGGCTTAACCCAAATGTAAATCAACTTGGGAGGCCTGGTCGACGACCGGGCCGCGGGGACACTAAGCCCCGGAAGCACCTCAAGGTAGGTGGGACATACTGCAATGCAGAATACTGCAAATACATCAGCAATGGAAACCTAGCAAGTGATAAATGAGGATCCAACAGGAAAGAAGCTATTCCTCTACAGACCACCACTGTATCTCGGAAATAAGTATCTCTAAGAGGCTGGATAAAATAATAAAACAGACTTCAATATTAACACCCATAGAGATCAAACTTTGTAAATAATGTGAATTCAGAAGAAAACTCATGCTTAGCCAACTTACTAGAATAATATTAAGTTGCCATTATCAGGCACCATGGGTAAGGATGGGTCCACTGCACAATTCTGAACTGCCAATAGACCTGACACTATTCCTCATAGGTAACTTACAAAAAATAAAAAAAAAAAAGGCTGGTGTTGCAAAAAATCTATTCGACTATTGGGAGCATTTGATCAATGTGAGTTGGAATTGGAATGGAAAGTTAACACGCATGATTTTACAAGGTTCTGTCCGAGGACTAATATTGTTTCTGATTTTCGAAAATGATCTATGATAAAGGCGATGAGTCACAATAATGCTGCTAAAGTATGTTGACCAGACCACAAACTAGAAGGTAAAGGGACGACGACGTTTTGGTCCGTCTTGGACCATTCTCAAGTCGGCAATCGACTTGAGAATGGTCCAGGACGGACCGAAACGTCGTCGTCCCTTCACCTTCTAGTGTGGGGTCTGGTCAACCTATGATGAATGAAAGCAAATTCACATGTCAACATTTATCAATGATGTTAAGCTGATGATAAAAACAAGGACAGTGGATGACTAAAATACTTGAAAAAGCTGTAGGATTAATAAAATAATTGGCTACTGGATATGTCTGAACCAATGTAACATAATGAAGATTAGAAAATTGGATAGGAGACCAAAACAGTACAATTTGATGGGAGGTGGCAAATCTTAGTTTAACAAAAATAGAAGAACCTATGAGTGGACATTTCATGAAGGCTAACACCAAGAGCAGGACTCATCAAGCATTTATACAACCACTTACAACACTTCTATATTTATCCTCAATCATGGCAGCTTTCTTTACATTTATGAAACATTTACAAGCTCCAAAGCTATTAAGTTGTTTTAACAATAATAACCTTGGGTTGTGAAGTTTCGAAGCTCATAAACTGCTCAATAAATGTAAACAAAGCCACCATGATTGAGGAAACTATACAAGTGTCATAAGTGGTTACACAAATGCTTGACAAGTCCCGACCCAGAAGCGCACATAAACAGGATTACATCAGTAGCATATGCAAAGCTGGCAAATATAAGAATAGCCTTTTAAAACCTGAATAAGGAGGCATTCAGAACATTTTACACCACCTACGTGAGGCCAGTGCTGGAGTGTGTGGTACCAGCATGGAACCCATTCCTTGTAAAATAAAAAAAAATAAAAATAAAAATAAAAAAATTATAACATATAAAGATATTGAGACATTAACAAAATGGACAATAGCCTGCTTAATAAGGGGGAAAACAGGAAGAAATTGAGTACACAGATAAGCCAACGGGAAATGAAGAAATATGGTACGCTTTCATAAGTATATGCAAAGAACTCTGGGAAGGAGGAGATAGTAGAGGTCAGTTCCACACAGTTACCAGCAGATATGACAAGACACTGAAAGATATGAGGAGCTACATTAATAATAACTAAGAGGCAGGGGCTCAAACATTAGTATTCATTACCCAGAGTATGTAAGCAAACACTAAGAGAAGAAAGTAAAAAGGATAATTCTCTTAAAAAGAATAATAGAAAAGATCAAGTTGGAACCCAACTTACTAATCAAATTAAGATAAAGTATATGAATCAATTTTGCCAAACTTGCTTTATTACAGATAAAGATGCACTGTGTCATGTGCTAAACATGAAATTCCAAAATGTATGGCATTTTTTAAAGATGGATTTCCATGAATCAAGGTTAGATTACACTCAATAATAGAGCTCACTCAAATTACTGATGAAGAAACAATTACCATATCATACATAAATTCAAATAAAGTTGTAGGAGAGTCAACAAAAGACAACACTCCAAAGGAAATAAACAGAGTAGAACAATAAAATTAAGGGAACTTAGAAGTATTACACTGAAAGAGTGGAATCGTAATAGACAACTAATGATGAGGTGTACCGTGTCTATGAAAAGCCATGTGCCCAAGCACCCAAGGGAAGACCTCCAGGGATAAAATACCCTTTTAAGCAATCTTGTCCTTTCCAGTGGAGGGAAAGGACAATCCAATCCAATCTAACCTCAATCCAATTTTGAGGCAAAGCACTAGCCAACAAAATCTCTTTCCAAATGAACCTCGACCATTCAAAACATTTACAAGGATTGTTCTAAACAATTCAAAAGACCCAAATCCAACAATATAAATTACCATCAGAAGGCATTGCAGACATGCAAACAAGTTTGTGGTCAGTAATCCTCATTACTGTGCTCCCAACTTAGCCAAGCCCACTCTTGGGCAAGGGGGAATATGAAAGGTAGAAAAGAGGTAGCTACTAAAGTAGCACTCAGAAAGGGGCATTTCCTTTCATTTAAATGCTACATTTCTGAGCTAAGTTCCTTTGGCATCTTTCCTAGCATTCTTACCATAATATACTATTTTCAACTACAACAACAAGAAAAGATAATCAGAAACTTAAGCAAGCAAGCAGCAGCTCTCGGCAGTTTTAGAACCCAGGACAGTGAAGAACACTTTACATTAAAATAAAGAAACTGCACCAGACACTGGGGATGAAGAAAATGCAACCCAACCATGTTTCTGGCTAACAGCATGTGGAATGGTGCCTGAAAAGTAACATCCATCGAGAATTGAAACACAGAAATGAGGGCAAGAAAACAAGAAAAATACCCTGTGACTGTGCTGGCTCTAGCAGTAAGTGGGTTGGCTTAAAGTAACTCTTCCAAGTTTAATAATTAAAGGAGGAACGAGGACAAACACAAACATACATGGAAGATTCAGTGAATGCTGAACAGAAAGAAGCAGTCATAACAGGCAAAGGATGTATTTCCAAAAAGGTTTTTGACAGGACAGGTGAGAGACACAGATCACCACAATTTGCCTCACAAATTGAGCGCAGTACGAGAACGGAAATCTCTATACATAAAGTTTAGTGCAGCAATGTGAAGTAGCTCCGCTAATGACCCAAATACAATACAGATTCTCTCTTGATGATCCATGGTATTCACCCAGTGATCCAGAGTATTTTGCCAGTAATGCAGAGTAGTCTCCTGATGATCTGAGGTACTAGCCCTGCAATCTGGGATCCTATCCAGGTGTTCCTGAGTACTCAACTCTCCTGATAATCTGGGGTACTCTCAGAATGGCATAAGGTACTCGCCCAGTGATCTGGGGCACGGTCCCTGTATCGAATATTCCACTTTCAACAGTTTCAGAAAGACACAGGAAGGAAACTGGATGTAGGTAATGTGACAAAGGGGCCAGAAGCCAATTGAGTAACTTGGTCTCTGTTGAGAAATAGTGCTGAATACTGAAGTCAGCAGTTTTACATGGAAGCAAAATGATGCACTGGAAGACCGACCACGGAAACATTTGACATGACATGAATGTGAGCCACATGGAGAACGAGCAACCTGAGAAACTTGATGTAAAGCTACCACCAGAATCCAAAGCCGTGAATTGCCAGTTCGCCTACCACAATATTTCTTATATATTATTTTCTTATGCGGCAAAGAACCATTGTCAAACAGTCTGAAAGAAGCTAGATTTCAGGTCCCTGCCTCTTTTATAATCTGTACTGTGCTTAACTAGTTGTGCCTGTGGGTGGTGGGAGTGGGGGTGGTGGAATTAAGGGTATGTGATTATAGACCATCCCTTCACAGTTATTTTATCTGGTGAATATATACTTCTCAATACTTAAATACTATTTAATACTGTACATGAAATTTAATTAAAAGATAGTTGTCCATAATCTATAGCACAGATGTACTTGAGGATAAACTCACCTCCTTTTTTCCCAATCCTATGGTCTAACACTTTCTCTATAGTGTGTGCATTTTCTTCTTCCTTGGATATTGTTTGCGACCAGTCTACTTCTATCAAATCTTCTTCATCTTCCTCTTCATCTTCACTTTCTGCTTCCTTATAACTCACTTCTTTGGCAGCACGATTTGACCCTCGTCTGGTCAAGTAAATAAATAGTAAATAAGTACAGTATAGAAACATAGATGGATAGATAGGTATACATATATAATATAAAGCTGGAAAAGAAAAGTATTGAACACAAATATTATTGTACTGCTAAATGATATGCGACAAATAACTAAGGATTTGAGTTAAGATAACAAGCTCCTGTCTGAGCAACATATTATATCGATATATGATTTTAAAGTGATAGCTCAACTTCAGGATATAGAACAGATTCAGAGTCCAAGCTTTTTTTGTATGAAATGCAGTGTGTCCAAAACCCACCATGTGTTTTGTAAATGTCTCATATAGTACTTGGGAAAATATAAGTGGACATTACAATAAATTAATGAGTGCTATTTGATAATATTTATGACCTTTTACTATACCATTTACAGTTTTTTTTCAGGGAGGGTGCCTCCCCACCCCATGAAAGTCAGACATAAGGCAGGCTCAATTGCAAAAAATATCATAGCTTTGATTTCAACCGTGCAAATAAATAAATTTTACTGTAAGCAAATAAATAACTTGCAAGGGTGATCAAAGAAGAGAAGTTTAAAAAAAAAAAAATACAGTTGTCGTAAGTGTCAATCTAGAGAAAATCCTGAATCACTCATCATCTCACCTTTTGGTCCCACCTTCACTCTCACTACCTTCACTGCTACTTTTATGCTTTTTATGCGATTTCTTCTTAGAGGAAGATGAACTTGATTTTTTGCTCGGAGGCTTTCTTTTATGTTTGGGCGAATCATAATCAGAATTATCACTATCTGATTGCTCAGAACTGTTCCACTGACTGGAGCTGGAAGGAAAGAAATATTGATATGTAGATAACATATTAGCATATATTTAGGGTAGACACTGGAAAAATACATTTACAAAAACAACATCTGTACCTGAAGTAATATACAAGTAAATTATAGACACTTATTCCTGAGAGACACTGAGGATTATTTATATAAAACAAAATATAACAAGATATTCAACATATTGTACTAGGTTACAGTAGACGGTTATGAAAAGTGGAATATAAAAAGCAATTTATTTCTACATATTAAAAAGCTATCTATTAACAATTACTAACCTCTTTCTTTTTCTATATTTTTTAGCCGTTTCTTGGTGTTCCACTTTCATACGATCAGGCTCCTTACGTTCTCTCGCCGAGCGACGTATCCCATAGATGTCAGGATTCTCCTCCCAACACTGCAAAGAACTCTTTTCTCAAAGTTATCTCGGTAATTCATTTAGCAATAATTATTCAAAATATATCTTCTGCTTGTACAGTATTAAGACAAAGGAAAACTACCATGCTTAAACGCTCCAAATTTTAAAATGTGGCATTATGTTAAAACTCACTTAAATTGCAAATTTATAAAATCAATATAATACTTTCTATAAATAAACCAAGGTACTCTTAACTCTAGCCAGAAACATAACACCATAGACACAGACTAAAAGGCAGGGAAAATTATGAATTTGTTTTCTTGTTAATGTTGGTGACTTCCAAAGAGAACTCATGACATCCAGTTCAGATGTCACTAAAGCTTATCTCAGATTCAGCTAAATCATACATGATTTGGTCACAACCAATGCTATTAGATATTCAGCACCCTTGGGATACCACTCTGGCCATCAATGAGTCTGTTTACATTCCCTAAGGGATTACATGAATAATGCTAATTTTAGTTCCATTCTATAGAACAATGTTTCCTCTCAATTCATACTACGTTTTCTAAAAATCAAATACTCTATAACTAATTTTTAGGCCACTATGAATACCAACAGATTTCTTACACATCCAGTCACCAGCAACTGAACTATATTTGAAATATAAGAAAGAGTTTGTGAATGCAGCCCCTTAAGTACAGGAAGCTTCCAGAGGGAAGTACTGTAATAAGAAATCAAAAGCAGCTTAGAAACTAACCGGCTTCAATTCCTCCTTGCTTCCCTTCCTAGAATTTCCTCGTCCACTGCTAGACGAGCTTCCTGATCGATCATTCTCATCTTCATCTTGGTCATCAGACTTATCCTCATCATCATTGTCATCTTTATCTTCCTCCTCCTCATCATCATCATCCGATCCAGACTGTTTATTGTCAGAATCTGAATCAGAATTGTTGTTGTTGTCTGATGAGTCTGATGAACTTCCAGAACCAGATCCACTAGAAACAGTAAATTATGTTAGCCTAGACCCATTCTAAATTGATTATCATTTACCACAAATTTTTAATTGAACACCTATAAATGTGAAATTCAATACAGTATACTGTGCATTCAAAGATGTGAGTGAAAACATTCCTGTAAAAATATCACGCTCCTAGAGGGCATTTGAAGCCTAAAGATGTACAATTCATTCAATGCAAATGAATGCACATACCTAGCACAATCTTTTTAATTTTATAATTATTAAAATTAAAACCTAGCACATAGACCAAGTAATAATACAAAGATTTGGTGAAGTATTTATTTTCGTTCTTTAATCAAACCAATAAGAAATATTTCATTATTTAGATAGCAAAAATCCAGTACTGAATATATAGTAATGCAATGCTTCGTTCTGGTAGATCCCCTCTATACAGTATCTACCTAAGCTACCTTGAAACACGAGTGCCTAGTACAGTGGAACCTCGGGATACGACCGTCCCTCTTTACAAATCTTTCGAGTTTACTACCTCAATTTCTTTGGAAACTTCAAACTGGGTTACGACTTTTGCCTCATCTTGCGACTTTGTTGATACACACGAGTGTACGTACTATAGTACAAAAATATTTGTGTATATTGTATTATGTATGAAATGTATTTTGACGTTAATATTTTTGGGAGCATGGAACGGATTAATTCAATTTACATAATTTCTCATGGGAAAATTTGTTTCATGTTGCGAATTTTCAGCTTACGACCAGTCTCTGGGAATGGATTAAATTAAAAAACCAAGACACCACTGTATTTACTTTGGCAAGGTGGGATCTTTTATCCCCCCTCTTCCCCTATGCATCTAATGAGGCAGATCTCCAGTAGGTGCTCATGTTTCAATATAGCCTGATGTGGGTACCTAAGTTTGGAGGAGTTCAGGTGGGTAGCTCTGGGAAACAGGGAAGTTCTCCCAGAAATTTTGCAAAAATGTGCTTCACTGAATTATCCCAGAACAACAGATTTTTATTGACCTTTATTTAAAAAAAAAAAAAGTGAGTGGGGTCAATAGTGTTTTTACTCTTGACATTCCATGAAAATTGGAGTGAAGAGTAACATGTAGAGAAGCAATGGAAAACCTCTCTAATTACAAATCCATAAGGGCCGTGACGAGGATTCGAACCTATGTCTGAGAGCATTCCAGACCCTACCTTAATCTAATTACCCTGTCATGTGAATCCCCTGCATAGCAGTGGAACTGCCTTTTCCCTTCACCTTCAATGCCTCTGCACTGGAACTCTACATATACACCAGCCCAGATGAGTCATCGCTCCTGTGCCAGGTAAGTCCACTACAGGCTCACCATAGCCCGTGCTACTTGGAACTTTTGTTCTGAGTAGCTGAATCTATAACAACAACAACATGAGTCATCAGTCCTGCCACCTCTCCGTACCCCCTAGGGGCAGGCACGGCCTGGTACGACTCAGAGGCAAGCTGGGCGCTTCTCCTAACCGGTAGTTTGCCCCCACAAACAAGCAGTTAGCCGCCTTCAACTGGCAGTGGTGCAGCTCAACACAAAGGCACTGCCAGCCACAAACGAGCAGTTTGCTAGTTGACCAGATGTCCACATTGTGTTGACACAGGATGAGTCATCACCGCCGGACTATATAAAGGGCGCTGCCTCCCTGGAGAATCAGTCTCTCCCTTAGTGCTCTTGGAACACCTTGGTGTCTCACCCGTCGTCTGACTTCAGTCAACTCTGTGTGTCTGATGCCATGGTGGTATGGTAGGTGTCTTCAGTATACCAATATATCTTTTTGCTTTGCATTAGTTAAACTTTCATTTACTTAGTATTTGATATGCTATATAATAATAGCCAAGTATTGTCATTTGTCATTTTTGTTCATTAATATTTCAGTAAATTGTTTTAATTATTTATTTGATGATTTTAATTTGTTTCCACCTGCAACTTACACACTGCAAGGTCAATAGCAGCATTTTTTTATTTGTGTGAGGGAGAGCCATACCATCTTGGTTCTGTATAGCTACGGTACCACAACCCGTCACATAAATTTTGGGGCTGTCCGGGAGTTGCGATACCACAACCCGTCACAACCCTCTCTAATTACCTTCCACTGCCAGATCCAGATTCTGAGTCACTTCCACCACCAGACTTGCTTTCATTTTCATTGTTGTCCGAGTCATTGTCGTTATCTACTCCGCTACCTGACCCAGACTGCTCCTCTTCACTGTCTGAGCCACTGTCTTCTACATGCTGAAAATGAAAAAGAATTCACAAAATTAGACACCATATAAAAGCATACTTACTTCTTGAACATAAATTCTTTCCCAACTGACTTAATTAAAATGTAGACATGCAGGGAATGAGTGTGGGGTAAGATGGGTCAATGTGGATGGAGCAGAAGGTAGGTGTGAGAGGGCATATGGGTGGTAGTAGGGGTTGCGTGTAGGGGTGCTTACAAAATTGGTAATTGTGCAGGGTGCTATAACAATTTAAATATCAAGATGGAAACCACATAAAATGTAGTCAAATTACACTGAAGAACAAAAAAGCAATATACAAAATTTGGGAGTAATCATGTCAGAAGGCTCTACAGTACTCTGAATTATAAAGATTATGTATCTGGCTCAGAAGACAGTGATATGGGTATTACCAACACTACAATGATTCACACAATCTTCACAAATTGCTTTTAAATACACAGATGGTGAATTACTAAAAAAATTGTTCACGCCCTTTGTGAGACCAAAGCTAGAATATGCAGTGGTTGTATGGTGCCCATATCTTAAACAGTACATCAACAAACTGGAAAAAGTGCAGACATGTAACTAAACAGATCCTTTTAACTGAAAAACAAGAGCTGTGAAGAGAGGTTAGGCATTAAATATGCAAAAACCAGATGGTAGAAGAAAAAGAGGCGATATAATCACTACTTACAAAATAGTAATGGGAATCGACAAAATTAATAGGGAAGAATTCCCGAGACTTAGAACTTCAAGAGAACAAAAGTCATTGATTTAAGCTAACTAGACAAAGCTGCCAAAGAAATATAATTCACTTTTGCAAGCAGAGTGGTAGACAATTGGAATGAATTAAGCGAGGTGGTGGTGAAGGCCAAAACCTTTAGTAGTTTCAAAGCATTATGTGACAGTGCTGAGAAGACGGAACACCGCGAGCGTAGCTCTAATCCTATAACTAGACTTAGGTAATTACAATTTCAAAAAGACTAGCTGTCAAAAAGGCTGTCCTGCTAAACTGCCTAGTCTCTGTTGGAGGTCATGTCAAGGCTTAACCTGACTGCATTGTCTGTAAGAATACAGAGGAAGGAAAAATGACAGAAGGCCATTACAACTTGGTGTAGAGCATGTCAGGTACACAGTTCCCTTCCAGCCTCTGGGACAATCACACATTGGTTAAATGCTCCTGGTAATAGTGGCTCAGTACTTGCAACCTTGTGTACATCTGTTAGGTGATCCAGTACCTTTAAAAGAAAATGGCAGACGCAATTTTTCTGAGCGATGGCGAACCTGCTATATCTCTACAGAGTCAATGAACAGCAAGAAGTCTCAAAACAATATCAGGAATTAATGACTGCACAAGACGAGAAGAAATATGCACAGGCAACAAATGAACAGCGAGTGACCACTGGCAGAAGGACCAGAGTCATAGACTCATCACTATTAGCAGGCACACCTAAACAAACAGAAGAATAAAGACCACATGTGCTAAGAGGACCAGGTTAATAGAGGGAAGTGGCTGTCATTTTCAATACAGTACCTTGTGAATTGTCATTTCATCAGAAATTGAAGTAGATAGTTCAATTGGTCAAGGAATTTGGTGAAATTGAATCATTGTCTAAATAGTTGGTCCACCGACCCTACACAACAGTTAAATCAGATGAAGCAGTTAACACCTAACGTCAGATGGATTCAAGGACATTGTTTTGCTTACTCCTGATAAAGAGTTTATCAGGAGTAACTTTTAAAATATCCTACATACAATATCTGGACCATCTTTATCTCAATAATGAAAGTGAAGTTGTTGTCCATGGTTTTATATACAGGTACAGTATATAAAAAAAAAACTCTGTACTATACATTAGTTGCCTTTTTGAAAAACAAGGCTCCAGATAAACTTTTTGTGCAAAGACTTGTCTAAAGGAATGTGGCCAAATATATTGAAGAACCGATACTGTTTGAAGTGCTCTCAATGAGGATATATGGCTTGGAAATGTCAGTTTGATCCCAAATGTCAACACTGGCAAGAAGCATGACTCAAGAGAATACAATATAGTCAAGATTAGAAATGAGGGAAAAGTACTTTCCATCTTAATGCAATTGTCGAGGCATCCATAATGCTGGTTCATCTCTATGTTCTATAAAGCCACATCTCAAGAGGTTTCACACTGGTATGTATAAGTAGGATAGCAGCAGCTCCAAAGAGATGAACAATAGTACTGCAGGAACAAAGAAAAACAAGCGGAGACAAGGATGGCACATGCAACTAACACGGAAAAAATAATAAAGATAAAGGGAAACATAGTGGCAGGCAGAAATTTGTTTGCTCTGTTTGCTCTGCCCACCATGGGAGTGGGGGCAGGGCTGGGACATGGCGGTGCCAACACAGGAGACACTGTTCGACATAATAGGCCAATTATACCTGATTAGTCTTTGTATAATAGGAGCTGCCTCGTATGGGCCAATGGGACTCCCGCTTACCTTTATTCTTATGTTCTTAAATGAAACTGAGGAAGTGTACCGTCATGGTGACAAGGTGCAGAGCATTGCTGAGACCACGGAGGTTCATATACAGATATTGGAATATCTTAAAAAATACAGTTCTGGCATAATAACACTCCAAAAAAAAACCAGAAGATAGAAGTGGTAGTAGTTTAAGGATAAATGGCTATAAAGGATTTCACTTATATGCTGGTGGAGGAATTACGGGGGTCTCTCATTATGTTGAAAATACTATAGTATACCTGCTGAGCTAACCGAGACATCTAGGAGATGTATAAGAATTTAAAGTACTGTATTAGTTTGGGGATTCATTTAAAAGACTGAAATATACATTTAATCAATACAGTATACTGTATCTGATAAATCTGTTGATTTAACTTATTTGTAAGATACCTTATTTTCTGAAAGTACACTTGTGGTAGGGGATTTTAGTACTAGATATCTATCTCTAGGTTCAAGTGGTAAAGCAAATACTGTATTAATGTTACAGATGATACTGACTTAAGAATATAAGAACAAAGGCAACTGCAGAAGGCCTATTGGCCCATACGAGGCAGCTCATATTTATAACCACCCAATCCCACTCATATAAATGTTCAACCCATGCTTGAAACAATCGAGGGACCCCACCTCCACCATGTTACGCAGCAATTGGTTCCACAAATCAACAACCTTGTTACTGAACCAGTATTTACCCAAGTCTTTCCTAAATCTAAACTTATCCAATTTATACCCATTGTTTCGTGTTCTGTCTTGTGTTGATACTTTTAATACCCTATTAATATCCCCCTTTGTTATGTCCAATCATGATCATTAATATTGAAATCCAAAAATTCAATGCATAAATGTTCAAAATAAGGCAAATAGGACACTGGGATTTATTTCAATAAGTGTTAGGAATAAAACACCTGGTGTATGCTCGTGATGGGGTGCATCTATCGAGAGCTGGGGTTGTTGCTGTTGCGAACTCGCTAGAAGTGGTTAGAGGTGTTTGTTTGGGTTTAAACTGTTAGTAGATAGAGGTATGGGAATTGATTTGGAGGAAGGAGGTAATAAAAGTATGTGTTTGTGGGAGAAAGGAATTGGCAAAACGATCAGGGAAAGAGAAGGTCCGCAAAATAACAATTCACTTAGGGTATATTACACTAACAGTAGAAGTCTAGGAAATAAAATTAACGAATTAAATGCTCTTGTCTGCACAGAAAAAATAGATATTATTGCACTTACCGAAACGTGGATGAATGTAGAAAATAGAGAACTATTAGCTGAATATCAAATATATGGATTTAAACTATTTCACACAGATAGATATATTAGACGAGGAGGTGGAGTAGCCATATATGTTAGGGACAATTTGAAATGTAGTCTCAAAGAGGGAATCAAAACAGAGCCACACACAGAAACTATTTGGATTGAATTAAACGAAAAAGCTAATAATATTATAATAGGAGTAATATATAGGCCACCAAATTTAGACAGAATGGAAGCAAAGCATCTATGGGATGAAATATCTAGAGCATCTAGATCTAACAGTATTTATGTCATGGGTGACTTTAATTTTAGCGGAATAAACTGGTTGAACAAAACAGGGAATAGTGAAGCAGAAGATTTTCTAGAATTAATTGACGATTGCTTTCTTACGCAACACATTAAGGAACCAACACGGGAAAATAATATTTTAGATTTAGTGTTAACTAACAGGGAAACGCAAATTAATGACATCGAAATAGGGAGTGAGCTAGGGAGCAGTGATCACAAAGAAATCAGATTTAGCATAGAATGGAATAGACCAGTAGGAGAAAATTCTGTTAAAGTGCCAGATTTTCGAAAAGCTGATTTTAATAGCCTAAGAAATTTTTTGGGTCAAATTGATTGGAAAGGCTTGGGTATGGGGTGTGGGCCGGTCTTGGAGCGAGACATGAACCCAGCGTTAGGTGACTTAAATGGGGATTTCGATGTGGATTCAATATATAACTTATTTAAGAATATTCTAAACAAAGCACAGGAACGTAGTATACCATACAAATTGAATAGATCGTATACTAATGACCCAAAGTGGATAACAAAGAATTTGAAGAACCTTATAGGTAAAAAGAGAGCTTGGTACAAAAGGATTAAAATGGGGAGGTCACTTTAGAACAGGAATTCGTACAACTGGTTAGAAATGTTAAAAAAGAGATAAGGAAAGCAAAAAGGAACTATGAAGTTCGCATAGCAGGGCAAGCAAAGACAAATCCTAAAGGGTTTTTTCAGTTATATCGTACTAAGACTAGGGAAAGGATAGGTCCATTAAAAACTGAGACAGGTCAAATAACAGATAGTGATGAAGAGATGAGTAGTATTTTTAATAAATATTTTGTATCTGTATTTACTAAAGAGGAACTTAACAATATGCCTTCAGCCGAACAAGTCTATGTGGGTGGGGACGAGGACAGGTTGACGAGTTTAGCAGTTACCAGGGAGGATGTTCTTAAACAAATAGTAAAACTCAAACCAAACAAATCCCCAGGGCCG